TTAATTTATTGCTATATATAAATTCAAGTAGGCACTCACCTCTTTTGTTTATATTGCTGCTTCCCCAGACGGTGTGGTGGGCATTGGCATCACTTCCTATTATAAGTTGGAAGTTCCTCCTTCCACAAAAGTCCACTAGATCCTTCAGTTGCTCGTCGGCACAGTCCCCCGGGAGGTAGGATGAGCACACAATGAACTCTGTCCAGGCCCCGCAGGACTTCACCTTCACCAACGCAGCTACCTGATCCTTAGAACAGTAATCTGGAATGGGAAAATACGTTAGCCTTTTACTAAACAAAATGCAAGCCCTAGGCCTGCCCCCAATTGTATTATCATACAATAGCTCACCTGTTAGGTCCTTAACCTGATCCTTCACTATGTAAGGCTCTTGGATAATGGTGATATCGAGGTGATCCTTCATAAATCTATGAGCTAGAACATCAGTAGATGCCCTAGCATGCTGTAAATTTATTTGGATTCACCTCACAGCCATATCATTTCCTCCGGCTCTTGTCAATGGGTTTTGGCTCTTTAGACAAAGGCTTTACATGAGCCTTTCCTCCCATTGCCGCCTTTTTACACATCTTGGTGGGCGCCTGCCCTGCCATAGCCTCTTTTGCCGTCCCAGGTGCCACGCTAGCCCCTCCAACAGCAAATACCGAGGCAGTTCCGGGCTTCTCAATGGGCTTGAGCCCTTTTGGTTCCCCCGGGACGCCTGTTTCCCTTGCCGCCATTTTCGGAGCGACTTCAGACTTTCCAATGAGTTTTGGCTCTTTTGGTTGGCCTGAAGTGCTCGTCGTTGTCGCGGTGGGCACTGGTTTTTTATTTTGTCCTGCCCTGTCGCCAGCTCCTTGAGAGGATTTTCTTCCTTTAACCCGAACGGTAACACGGAAGAAATTCAGGAAAAGTCGGAACTCCGCTTTCCGTAGATCTTCCAATCCGGAATCATCCACGGAAAAGGTGATGGAGCAGCCCCCGTCCTTTTCCTTATCCATCCTCAGCATCCTCCAGGAACTTATCTTGAGGCTGGGATTTTGCTTCCCTATCCTACTTAGAAATTTGTCCCTGGAGAGACTGACGGTTGTCTCGTCCTTTGGTACGTAGGTGACGCAGACATGCTGTTTGGGCATGTCGTCGCCATCCAGTACAACGACGTCGCAACCGTCCCCAGGCTTTATCTTCCTGCAGACACTGGTTATCCACTCCCTGGTGTTTTGATTGTTGCATGTTACGGATATTCATCCGTCCCTGACTTTGCAATGCTGCAGTGAATTGTGGATGAGAGTCCACAACTTTATCCATTTCATCCATGATGGCTACTTTGATTTTCCCCATCTGAACTTCGGATAGCCTTTCCTCTGGATGCAGTCTATGAGTGATGGCCACCTTGACCTGTGCTACTGCATCCCGATAAGAAGTCATTTTCGGGTTTTGTTGAGGAATGTTCCCAGGGACCTTTTCCTCAACATCGCCCTTCATCGATCTCTTCTTTGAGGGCCCTGCATCAGGGGTGTTGCTTTCCGACCTTTCCCTCTTCTGGGGATGGTCGGCCACAACACCCGATCCGCAGGCCTTCAGCTTTTCCAGCCTTTCCTTCTCATATCTGCGAGCTTCCTCTGGGGACATGCCATCCCTGATATAAGCCGCGATACGCCGCTTGGATGCACCAAGATTATCCGTCTCCATCGGAGGCGCCGCCTTTTCCTCTACTGGCGTGAGAAGGAGTTCCTCCTCTGCGTCAGTCGAGAGAAGCTCTGGTTCCGAAGACCCTTGAGCACTAACTGGGTTTATGTTGTCCTTAGTGTTGTTGCTGTTGTTGTAATTGTCACTGTTGTTATTGTTGTTGTTGTTATTGTTGCAGTTGTCGTGTTTGTCACAGTTGTTCTTGTTGTTGCTGTTTTTGTTTAAGTTTTCCATATTTTGGTCCCACGAATAGCGCGGGAAAGTAAAGTCACCCATGGCAGAGCGCGACATACCATGGGAAGGCTCGTTTAAACTGGAGGACGCCTGGTATCCAGAGTCCGCATACTAACGACTAAGCTCCCCCTTAGCCACGCAGTCATCGGCATAGGTTGTTCCACCTTGACTTGGACGCCTGTCGTCAGCTGACGTATAGATTTAGGGCTGAAACTCACAAAGCAAGAGGCTCGCCGCGAGACATGACCACGACACGAACGTAACTTTGATCGTTTCAATCACCCCTTTATCCTCCGCTATTACCGGGGCCCACCACTAGGAGGTGACAGTGCGGTTTTGGGCCCCCTGTGATACCCGTACGAATCTGTTATCCTATGTGCGAATAAATATGTCATATCTGACTATGGGACAGGCTATGACTTTAAGTTGCATAGGTTACTAGGAGGTGACAGTGCGGTTTTGGGCCCCATGTGATACCCGTACCAATCTGTTATCCTATGTGCGAATAAATATGTCATATCCGACTATGGGACAGGCTATGACTTTAAGTTGCCGTATTACCCCATAAGTTTATGTAAAATTTCAGCATTGTGTTTTTCAAAATACTGTGTGTGCCAAACTACTACTGAAGTTGTATGGCAGATACCAGAAAGAGCCAAGAAATTTTAACGAATTTTATCAAGCACATCGGCCTTACTAATACATTCGCTTGTGTGAAATATCAATATAACAACTATTATAGTTTCTAAGATATAGCCAAATAACTTTTGAAGTTGTATGGCAGGTAGCAGAAGGAGCCAAGCAATTTCAATGACTTTTATCAGACACATTAGCCCTACTAATATATTCGTTTGTGTGAAATTTCAATACCATAGCTTTTTAAGTCTCTGAGATATAGTCAAATAACTTTTGAAGTTGTATGGCAGGTATCAGAAGGAGCCAAGTAACTGCAGCGAGTTTTATGAGGCACATTGGCCCAACTAATATATTCGTTTGTGTGAAATTTCAATACCACAGCTTTTATAGTTTCTGAGATAAGTATAGCCAAATAGATTTTGAAGTTATATGGCAGCTACCCGAACCGGTACCCCGATCATGTCCAATTTAAATAGGGTTCTGACACTTACTACAATAAATAATTTGTCAAAAATTTGGTGAACTTAGCTCAATTAGTTTTTGAGCTATCGTTGGGACGGACGGACGGATGGACGGACAGACAAAGCTAAATCAACTCAGAATTCGACGCTGATCAAGAACATACACTTGAGTCTATATCTAAGACATTATTACTTAGCGTAACAAACGGTAAGTAATAATAATAATAAGAATAATAATAATAATAATAATAATAATAATAAAAATAATAATAATATAATTTATTACTAAATTTTTTCACGCGTCATAAAAGAGTTTTTAGTGCACTTACGAGTATTCCAAGCATCCTATTTCAATTTCTGAGAATGCAGGAAAATATCTTAAGAGCAAATTCTTATAATTACGTCACATTATTACAGTATTGTTTATTATATTTAATAGGTATACTTTCATTTCATTTACTTTTATTACTATTTATTTTTAAAATAGTAATTTTGTGGTATATTTATTTTTAAAAACAATGCATTTAACAAATAATAAAAAACAATGTATAACAAACAAAGATGGAAAAAATATAATAAAATAGTAATAAATTACTTATTATGAAATAGCAAATTCGCGTTATTGATAATTCTGTTAAAGCAAATACTACAATAAGTTGCATCTCAAAAAAAACAAACCTTATACCTTGCAAAGAAGAAATGCACTTAATTTTTTTTTAATTTTTGGTTATGTATGAGCTCAATATAAATTTTTAATATTAACTTAATTTAATAGCAATTCTTCCGGGTGGTCTGACTTTTATAGTAAACCTCCAAACGCCTCTTTTCTAATTTTCAAATGCCAAAGGAAAAGACCCTGCACCCGCGTTGCAAGCTAAAGTTTTTACTTGTTTTATTTATTGTATTGTATTTATTGTATTTATTTACCGACATATATGTATATAAAAATGTTATAAGACTTAACAATATTACTTTCACCATTTTCATAAAAACATTTGTTATACATTACATAATATTATGTATGCTTAAAAAATTTGTTACATGTACGTTCACATAAAATGCTCTTATACTCGTATGTAATCATATTGATAATAAAAAATTTTTAAGTGACTTATACTAATAGTTTCAGGTTGCCTCAATTGTCGTATTATCAAAACTTTAATAACAAATCTACCTACTTTAAAATATATAGATCACTTAAGAATATAATAAACACAATTATAAATAATTATTATATTACACGCTTATAATATCTCTTATAATGTTTAATCAGCAATAGCTATAATTAGTTGATAATCTACAATGAATTACTGTTTTAATAAAGTTAAGCGACCATTCATTACAATTTTTTTTAGTTTTCTTATCAAACTAGACAACATATGTTACATATGTATGAAAGCAATAACTATTTAGTGTTATATAAACTTAAATAATTTTTGTAAAATAATTAATATAAATCTAAAACCTTTCACTTGAAAACAAATTCTTTTAAAATTTATTAAACGTCTAAGATACTCATATTTATCGATAACTTGATCTCCATCGTATACTTTTGATTTGATCTCTAGGAAAAAAAATCCTGGAGAACGTGTAAACTGAATACGTGTGAACTGAACCTGGTCATTCCAACACTATTATGAAGGGAAAATAACATTATTAAATACTAACTTAACTCCCATATAACAGATTACGGTAGATAACTGCACTCGTATGTATTTGAAAAACATTGAACACACATGCTTATATGAGTAAATGTATTGGAAATCTACTTAAATTTTTTAAATAACATTTTATAATAAACTTTTAACTTGTGTTATTGTCTGCTTTTAGATTATTTTTAATTTAGAACAGATAATGAGCTAAGCTCTTCTCTATTATATACTTAGATAAATACATAAATATAAAACATGAGCTTAGAGAGTAAATTTAAAGTCAGTTATCAAGTTGCTATTCAGCTGTTCAAACGGTTGTGTCAAATGCGTGCTAAATTTTTGCACTTTCACTCTATAATAAAATGTGTAATATCTAATTAAGCGGTCAAAACATTAATTTCAAAGTATAATCAAATATTAAAAGCTTTAATTAAACTTAATTTTCAAATAAAATTTAACTAAATATCCATTTTCAATTAAGATCTAGTTGCATTTAAAAATACGAGTATTAAGTAAAAAGTATAATTAGCGCCGTGAAAAAAAAACTAAAAAGAAATTTAAAGTAATGGATTTCGATAAAATTTTAGAAAAATGTGGTGATTACGGTCGCTACCAGTTTATGTTATTAGCCTTATTCGGATACATAAACTTTTTCGCATCCCAACATTATTTTGGTCAAACAATGATAAGTTTTGTTCCAGATCATTGGTAATTTGAACTTAAAAACCCTTACATATGTATATGTACGTTATTGTAAATTGATAAGTTTCTAAAATAAATATCCACAATAAATCAAAAAATTGTAATCAAAATGCTAATTCCATCACAATTTAAAAATCTTATCCCCGTCTGATTCTTGTATTTACCAATTTGCGAAAAAAGTGAGTAAAAATCGAATAAAATGCATACATATTTTTCAAAGTGAGAAAAAATGTTTTAAAATTATGTGTGTATACGCATACGTATGTATGTAAGTGCACAACTTATATGAAAATATCCAAAAAATATTTGTTTTAGAATGTTTTTATTCTCTTAACATCTTAAAATTTTTAATACATGACAAAAATGTAATAGTAATAAGGCTTACTGATTCAATATGATGCTGTAAAAAGAATTATTTATTAAAAAATTCATACTAAACTCTTACTCATTGTGGGGGCAAGTTTACTTTTGTTAAAGTAAACATCGATTGAAAGTAATCTGAACAATAACATAATAAAAATACATATTAACAATAACTATAGTCAAATGGCCACCCCCTTCTCACACACGTGAACTACCTTAATATATTATTAAAACCATATTTTATTAACGTATGAAATTAATATTAATTTGGAAAATCAATATGTAAATGTACATGGAATATGCACAAGGAATTCATGTCATATGGATACATACAACACTAGTATTCAATTGATTAAATTGTACTATTTCATCCATAGTGAATCTAAAATAAAATAAAAACTAGTAGCCCCTATAAAACACAGTCGTATAGATACACCTATTATAATTTAGTAAGTTTGGTCATCATTATTTTCGTCAGACTTTTCAAATAATATTCGGAAATAATAAATAATATTAAAAAATTTTTTTATAGACAATATTGTCGGTTACGATACCATCGATCGTTTCTCCTTGCAGGGTATTATATTTAATTTGGATTTTTAAAGAGCTAAAATTCATAGCTCTAGAACAACCAGTATAAAGTTGGCCGTGAGAGAAACAGGGATCTTCGAGGTAAATTCCTACTTTTTCAAAGGTTTGGCCCTGAGATTTATTTATCGTCAAAGCATACGCAAGGTTCAATGGAAACTGATGTCTAACAAAATTAAACGGGAGAGCGGGGGCGTTTGTTGTATCTAAAGATATTCGTGGAATAAAATGAACCGATCCAGCAAACGATCCATTAATGATTTTAAATTGTATGACATTTTGACGAATTCCTAGAACAATCAACCGTGTTACATTACACAATCCATTTTTTACAGATAAATTTCTCAATAACATTACAGTGCAACCTAATTTAATATTTAATTTAAATGGGGGCAACCCATAGGAGGATTTCAGCTATTCAAATATTCTACCGGAATATTTACTTGTAAATTATCATTTTCAGAGCCATCATTATTTTTCACGGAATCAATCGCATTGAAAGTTATTTTTTCAGAATTTTGTAAAAGAGCCAAAACATTTTCATTGATTAACCGTACATGTTCGTTTTTAGGGCAAAGAATTGCACGTTGAGAAATATTTTGTACATCAGTACATGTAAAACTGGTTCCAAAAATATCTGTTACTATATTATTTGACAAAAATGAATTCGGTACTTTAATAGAAAAGTTTGTTTTAGCAGATGATGGATTAGTAATAACACCATTACCTACGTTTAAAAGCCATTGACTAAAGTCCGGATCAGTAATAGCTCGCATATTCCGCTCTAGTTTAAAGGTTTGAAAGTATTGTCATAAAATAGACTTTTTAATTGTACTTTCGATAACTGTGCCCCGAGAACCTTTTCGTACAACGGGTAAAACTTGACGAAAATCGCCACCTAAAATAAGAACTTTTCCTCCAAAAGGAAGTTTGTTATCCATCAAATCTTGGAAAACCAAATCAACGATTTCAACCGCTGTGCCAGGTGCCATGTGTGCCTCATCCCAGATAAGCAAATCTAAAGATTTTAAAATTTCGCTTTTAGATTGAGAATGTCGAGGAAATTTAAGTGTTGATAAATCTAAAGGTAAACTAAATGCTGAATGACACGTCATTCCTCCAGGAATGTATTTTGAACATTTCTATTTTGGACGGATTTCATTATAGCATCTGCAGCTAAAAGTTGATCACTATTAAGACTATTCCATAAAATATCAGTAGTATTATCAACAACTATATTATCTGGATTTTGATAATATAATGAATTGGAATTATTTGGTTGAACTGAAAAATTAAGTTCAGCAGGTATATTTCCATCACCAACATCATCTGTATTTCGAGGAGCATTGTATGTTCTTTGATCATCATAGGTATTTCGAATAAAAATTAATGATATTTTGTTCATAGGTAAATTAACTGCTCTTCTCTCAGATAATTCTTTATCATAAACTTCTCGAAGTTTTTTATAACAACTGGCTGTGTTAATGATAATCATATTTTCACGACGGCATTGGGCGTTAGCAGAATTTAACATTCGTGCTTCAAGAGAAATATCTGTATCATAAACATACAATTCAGCATAAGATGGTGGCTGAGACATTTCTTTAACACAATTTGGTTGTAATTATGTATCAATTTCAATATTTTCTGAAGTTCTATGATAAACTTCACCTGATATCTTATAGCAATAAGGTCCATTGCCAGAAATTTGTTCAATTTTGGCTCCCATCGATGCAAATGTATTTGCATTATTATACTGTCTAATAAACTCCCTAAAATTTTTAGACAATTCATCATTTCCGATAAATAAATTTTTCAATGAATCAGGAAAAGATATATTTTGAGCCGAAATATGTGATAATTTATTATTATGGCAACACATACTTTTGCGCTCCTTTGAATGAACAGCTTTGCAATAAACGCATTCATTATTTAAAGATCCAAGATTATGAGTGCCCGGATTAATAAAATTTTCTGATCCAATAATGCCAGATTTAAAATGAGATCTGACAGCAACACGACGGCGTTGTTGTGCATGTTGTATAATGCATCCACGATTGTGTGAATAATGTGCTTGCTGCTGTTCCCTTATATTTTCACGATTTTGTGAATAATATGTTTGCCGTTGCTCTCTAATAATATCACGATTTTGTAAATAACGGACCCGCTTCTGCTCTCTGATTCCTTCACGATTATTTTCATAGTATGTAGCATTAATATTTCTTTTATTATTATTATTATTGTTCTTATTATTATTAATATTATTAATATTTCTTCTCTCGGCCATCTCAACAACAAAATCTTTAATTACTTAGAAATTTTTAAAAAAACATCTAATCACTTAACTGATTTTAAAAGACTGAAAAATTTATTCCACTTTACATGATTTTTTAAAAAATTTGTTATTTTCATATTGAAAATATCAAAGCAGGCCTGACAAATTTTCATAAAATAAAATTTTCATAAAATTTTTATAAAAAAATATTTTTGTTGTTGTTGCTTCTAATAGAAAAATATTTTTGTTGTTGTTTATAATGTCTGACGAAAATGATGATGAAACTTACTAAAATATAATATAGATTATAAGTATAAAATTGGATCTAGTAGTTCGTTTAAAAAATTTGAAATTTATAAAGAATTAAAAATTTTTCAATATTTTTCAAGGTGCTTTCATCCGAAATTAGCTAACAGAACATTTGATGAAATTAAACGAATTTATTCAAAACTTGATAAGCCGTCATGCACACGTTTAGAAGATATTATTGATGATATTGGTATACCCAGCGCAGAGTTTTGCACTAAATGGATATATGATTACGATTTTGGATATAAAAGTATGAATACAGAAGTAAGTAAAAAATGATTTTGCAAAATAAGAATAAAACAATTACCTTCTTTTTTTATACATAAGTATCAATACTTTCATAAACGGCATAGGATAAATTTTTATAAGTTTAAATAAGTCAATGTAAACAACTTAATTTATGTCACACTAAATGTACATACTTAGGTAAAACCAAATGCGTTTCAATGATTTTACCGGAAACCCATAAGTTCAATATTTTTTCCATATGTATAATAATCCGCATTCAAATCAAATTTAACTCCAAATTTCAAATTGGCAATTGTGTATTAAGTATTTTAGATATACATACATATGTATGTGCATTTAACAAACTTATTATATAAAACATTTTTGAACTTTTTTTTAGTTAAATTGGGTTTGTGATTCAGCTTACATATCTATATATGGGCAATCATTCTTTTTCGTTGGCTCTGTTATCGGAACATTGCTTTATGGTTTTTTATCAGATAAATTTGGCAGGTTAGTATTACTGATTATTGCAAATTTATCGGCTGTTACTGGAGATATTGCAACAACATTTTCAACAGATATTATTACATTTTCAATAAGCCGTTTTGTATCCGGACTAGCAGTTGATACTAATGCTTATCTGATGTACATGTTAGGTAAATATTATTGCTTATAAACTTTCTATTTTTCATAAAAAATAAATGGAAAATTTATGTAAACATTTCTAATTAGCATAATAGTTTTAGAATACATTAGACCATCAAAACGTATTGTTACTTTAAATTTTGTTATTGGCATTTTTTATACTGCTGGTTTGGTAATTACACCATGGATTGCTGTGGCAATAGGTCATTGGAAATTCTATTTACTGTCAATTACAAGTCCTTTATGCTTGGTTTTTACATTCATATACATAGTAAATGAAAGCGCTCAATGGTTAGTTACACAAAATAACATTGATGGAGCAATTTTAAGACTAAAAAGAATAGCGAAATTCAACGGGGTTTCTGTGAGTGAAGATGATTTTTTAGATTTCAGAAGGTATTGCGAAATATACTCAAAAAATGCTGAAGGAAATGAAAACCCTGCTAATTTCACGGACTTATTTAAAAAACCCAGATTAAGGAAAAGAATTTTCATATTATTTTATGTATTGTGAGTTTTTTATACATACGCACATATGCATGTGTACATATGTACGTATATGTATGTATGTACTTAGTAAAATAATTCATCATTGACTTTGACACTAATATAAAAAGTACCTATTTAAGAAATATGATACATATAATTTTTTTTTAAATATTTTATACTTACATAGAATGGTAACGACACTTTGTTATAACATTGTAAGCCGTAATGTTGAAGGAACAGGTTTATCGCCTTTTATGCTGTTTTCAGTTAGTTCTACAACAGTTTTTCCAGCCGCGGCAGTTTTAATTTTTCTTCAAAATAAAATTGGGCGTAAAGGAATGGCAACTTCATCTGCAATATTTTGTGCAGTAATTGCTGGAATAACAGGTGTCGTGTTGCGGACAGAACAAGGTCAAGAAAAAAATGTCGCCTTACTTGCCAGTTTACAAATATTAGCAAGATTTGGTATAGCTTTAGCCTATGAATCCGGTAATCAATTCGCTATGGAATTGATGCCAACATCTGTTCGAGGACAAGCAATTGCTGGATTGCATGTTGCGGGATATGCAATTTCTTTTCTTAGTGTGCCAATATTGCACCTATCAACTTATTTCGCATCATTACCTTCAATCGTTTTAACATCACTGTTCCTTTCGGAAGCGTTTGTTATATTATTTTTACCTGAAACATTAAATAAGTAAGTTAAATTACTCTTTTGTTCATTATATAACATTTTCCTAATTTTTAAAAAACTTTTCAGAGTCCTACCAAAAACAATCGAAGATGGCGAAAATTTTTCAATACAAGAAAAAGTTTTTGATTTCGCATGCTTTAAGCGAGAAAAGGTGAAAGACATGATTAGTTAATATTTCTTTCTTTTATATAGAGCTCGAATCAAAATAATAACCATTTTCCTTAAATACATATCTTAATATGCGTAAGTTATTAAAATTTATATAAGTAAATAAGTATGTATGTATGTACTTGCACATGTGCAACTACACAACAAAGGAGAAAAAGAAAAATGTGCACCAACCTACAAACATAAATACATACGTATGAATAGTAAAAATTTATTTCTTTAAAAATTTTAAAATACAGCCAGATATATACATATGTACATATATGTTTTTTTTTATTTTTCTAGCACAATATTTTACACAAAATTACTCAAATAATTTATTTCACAACATAACTAGGTTTTCACCAAAGTATATCTACTAACAAGTAGTTCGACTCTCCGTTTAATGCCTTTATATCTAACAAGTCCCAATACTCAATTTTTTCTTTAAATGCTACTGATCGTGTCATATTTTTTATTATTTTTTTCTTTTTTTTTAAGTAAAAAAGAGTTTAATATTTTAAAAAATCTCAGGATATTATACACATTTTTTAAAAAGCTTCCCATTTAAATTCTATTGCTCGAAAAAGAAAGAAAGGTAGGAGGAAAGAAAAAATGAAAAAAAATTTCAAATTCATATTTCACTATGGTTTCAAATGTTAATGAGGAAGGATGTATGATTTTTTATGCACATTTTGTATTTCCCAATAAGGTAAGTTGAGTAGTGTCGGCTAACAAAAATGTTATTAAAAGTAATATAGGTTGACACATTTCAACAATTTGAATTATCTCATTTCGGTTATTTATACGTTACTTATAAAATTGTTTCAAATAATTTCAGTTAGTTTTTAAATTATTAAAAATAAATATGTATGTACCTACTTCCAATAAATTTTTTTTTAAATAATTATTTTAAAACTATTTCAAACATGTTATATTGAGTGCTTCAAAAATTTTGCTGTGCTCTTTTTTCATATTTTATTAGCAGGTAAACAAGAGCAATCTATTTATAAAATGTCCCTGCATGTGTATGTATGACCTATCTTAATTCTAAACGGAAAGAATATTACATAAAGAACAAAAATTTTAAAATACCTGTTATTTTACAGTCGGAATTTTTGAGTCATTTGGTAAAATACCATTTATTTCAAAAATAAAAAAATATTCAAATCCGGTCATAAAAATATATGATTGTTTTTTCCAAACATTTTAAATATTTTTTTCTTCGGTAATTGATATAAATGATAGTAAGTTTTTAATATTTTTTCAAATAAAAATAGAGGTAAAATTTTGAAGTTTATATAAAATTTGTATTTAACAAATAATATTTGATTGTATTTTAGATATTATTTTCTAATTCCCTCTTCAAATTTTTTCTTTACTATTCAATATTCAATAATTATCTTTCATTAATTATATTTTCAACTTGACACTAAAGTTAGTTCCCATATCTTGAGTTAACTTACCCTATGAGAAAAAAAAGCTGTTCACTTAAAAATAATGAAATGCTTTCAGTAACATATAAAACATTGAAGGCGAAGGATGTGCTTGTTGTTTTTCCGCTTTTTTTATAATTTTAAAATAATTATCAATGAAAATATTAATATATTTTTTTGATTTTTCAAATATATTTTCTAAATTTTACCTGCTTTATAATAAGTGTGAATTTATTTTAATATTTCTTCTCAAAAAATAGCCACTTCGATTTAAAAAAAACCCATATAAAATAAGGTCCTGCTTTCAAGTTTCTCTCTGAGCATTGGGACTTGTTAGATATAAAGACATTACTCCGTTTACATCACACTAATGTAATCACTCACCAATATTTGTATACAAAAAATTCCCTTAGTTAAAAGAGTTTAGCAGTATACCTTCTTATTTTCATTTTTATATACATAAGAATTTTTGGGAGAGGGAAAGAGAACTCAATAGATGTCAACCTGTTTCTTTATAATGTATTTTGAAAGGCGACACTTGCTCGTATATAAAGTATAGGGAAAAATATTAAGAATTTTAAAAGCGACACAATCATTTCTGTAATTCATTCCATTACAAGGTGGCAAAAAAAGGTGTATTCATATTATAAAAGCGAAGCGGAAAAAAAGTGTTTAAAAAAATGATTATAATTTATATAATATAATTTTGAAAAATAATAAAAATAAATTTTAAAAAGACGTATAATATTAAAAAAAAATTTAAATAGTTGTGAAAAAAAAAATATTTTACAGTCTTTTATAAACAATCCAAGAATTTCATGGATAATTTAAAGATTTTAGAAAATACTTTTATTAAAATTTTTAATGATATTTGTACAGAAAAAAATTTAGAATGTAAAATATATGAAAAATAATTTCAACTATGAATGTTGTGAGAATTAGAATTTACCACATGATAAAAAGTTTTAATAAAAGTATACAACAATTTGATATAAAACAAAAATTTTTAGTGTTAAGCATTTGTAATTGATAATTATTAATAAATAAAATAAATAAATTATCTTTAAATTTTTTATTTTTATTTCAATCTTCATAAATTTAGAACATATTTCCCACGAATCGGTAATAATTATATTTCATAAAGTAATCAGTATGCATACACCTTTTTTTCTTTATAAATTACTTTATTTCTATGTCACTACCTAATACTGTGTATCTACTGTACCAGATACATGCACGTGTACATTCATACATGAAATTTGAAACTCTTTGGCTTTCATACATTCGAATTTTTTACCTAAATTTTATAAAATGAAAAATAAATTTTGTTATTATCAAAATAAAAATAACAAAATTTTTACCTAACTTAATTTCATTTTATTTTAGTTCAATGTTTTTGATACACTCGTTTGTTTACAATGTTTTGTTTCTTTCTTGAATTACCATCTATTTCTAAAAAAAAATGGAATATTTTAAGAATTTGGAAGCAAGATGCAAACGAAAACTAACGGAATGGAACGAGTCGAATTACTTATTAATAGATATATTTTGGGTTTTCACGACACTTTTGCCAACCTTTCATTCCGCTTGCACACAAGCACAAAACTAGAAACCACTAATGCAAGAGTTGTCGTGTAAATACGTTTAATAAGAGATGTTATTAAGAGCGTAGAATACACATAAGATAACCGAATTGACCACACGACGCAGTAGTGTTTTTCGGTGCTTTTTCAGCACTCTCGTACCTTTAAATGCACATGGAAAAAGATTATTTACACTAAAATGCATTTAAGCATTTTTTTAGCACATAACCTAATATTTTTGCAAAAATAGCAAAGAAATTTTTTAATTTTAAAGATTTTTCTGAAAAATTCAAAATTTCACTTTTAATTTTGACCATCCTTATTGAGCATTTTAACCAATTTCAATCTCAAATTTCCCACAAAATGCGATAAAAAAAATTAGACCTTTAAGGTTTACAATTCAGAAAAAGAAACCGTCAATAAAGAGATGATTTAATAAACAACAATTCAAATCAGCAATAATATTTGCTATTGAGTTCGAAAAGTTTTCACATGTTACAGTGTTTTTTACAATAAAATTTTTTCTCAAACTTTAAAAACTTTATGTGTATTTTCAATCGTTTAAAGTTCTTAAGCTTTGCCCTTATTACTTTTCGGAACTGAACTAACAAAAACATTCTAAGTCATCAACCGGTCCGACTTTTATTTGAAAATATTTTATTTTTATTGTTATTTTGCTTTCGCTTATTCGAAATTAAAAAAAAAACAAAATTTAATGAGGAAAAAAAAATTCCCCAGATATGGTAGATCTACAATTGAGTTATTAAATTTTTATCTGCAAGCAAATTTTATGCAGTGTAGTGTTTCTTTAACCTGGATTGTTCTGTCTACAGTTTTGTTTTCTTGAAACATATGTTTTTGACAATTTTATTACTTTTAGAGGTTGTGTTTGTGTTTACTCTCAACATTTTGTAATTTGGGAGAACAATAATTTCCTTTTAGTTTTGAAATCTAATACTTAAAATTTTAAACTACATAAAATGCTTAAACTTTTTAAATTTTCTCGATATTCTATAAAATGTGTAAGTAATGCTAAAATAGAACTTATGAAAACGTATGAAGTAGTTCAAAACATACGATTTCAAACTTATATTAAAGATACTATATTTTAAATTCTATTGCTAGCCAAACCGATTTTATTCGAAAGAGATTCCAAAAAACGTATTAGAAACAAATCAAAGCTCTCAACATCAGGAAAATGGAGCAATTTATGATAAAAAACCATTTAAATTAAATTTGACAGAAGGTAGTTATTTTGCAATTCTAATCTAGGTCACTGCAATTAAATTTCAATTATTTAGGAAAAATGTATGCATGGTGCTTATGTGGAAAATCTAAAAATCAACCACTTTGTGATGGAACCCACAAAAATGAATTTCTAAAAATTAAACATAGGTTTATCAAAATTTTCGATTTTTGTGATTCGATTTCTCATCACTTCTTTTTATTTTAGACCCATACGTTTCCAAGTTGAAAAAACCGGTGAATATTGGTTATGCAACTGCAAGCAAACTAAACATCGTCCATTCTGCGATGGCACTCATAAACAACCAGAAATTCAAGCAGCTATTAAATAAGTAGACAATTCGCTGAAATAAATCTTTAAATTTTGTTTCGAAAAAAACTTGTATACATATGAATATTTAAAATACTTTTAATATTCTTGATACACATAAGTAATGTGCCTATGCACTAAATAATTTGGATGATTTAAATTTCAAAATTTTGTCTTGAAAAACAATCATTCTTTAATATTTTTGAAGTAGCTATGTATGAACATAAATGTACATTAAACGTGTACAATAATACAAACATAATATATTTGTATCTTTGTCCAAATAGGTATACGTATTCCATCGTCAAGATAACTATTTTAGAATTAAGTCTATTGTTTGTCATGAATCATAATAAGTACTAAATCTAAGGTAATTTTACACAAATTCTAAAGACGCTTCCTAAGTACATATTATTCTAGTAACACTCAGTAAATTCTGGTAACAACCATAGGAGTGGATAAGTTCGCTTTCTTAAACTTTTTTGTATTATACCCCTTATTATTGAAAAAGTACCCTGTCGCGAAAATACTTGTTCTGGCTTCCAGCTGAGGCTAATCGCCAGTGTTCCTCCAATACATAGTACCGATCATCGTTGGAAGATACTAGTTCTTCAAAAAAAATTTTCAATGGTTGATAATTTTTCCGAAATATAATTCTTTATTTTTTATTGGTATGAAAAGAAAACTTCCTTTTATTCGGAATTCGGAATACTTTTTTTATTTTTTGCTAATATATTTCGTGCGCTACATACGCACTTTATCAAGAAGAAAATCAGCTTTGATAAAGTGCGTATGTAGCGCACGAAATATATTAGCAAAAAATAAAAAAAGTATTTTATTCCGAATAAAAGGAAGTTTTATTTTCATACCAATAAAAAATAAAGTACTAGTTCTTATTAAACTTTTTACTCATAGAGCGTCCACCTAAATTCGAAATATTCGCTTGGTGCTGTAAATACATGCATATCTATGTGAATAGGTATAAAGGCTGTATACCCGATTATGCAAAAATACTTCTTGAACTAATCAGGAGAGCGAAAGTTTTTTCGTTAAAATGCCCCTTCTTGCAAGTCTTTAGAGCAACTGTAAGCCAGTTTAAAAAAAAAAACTTAGTTTATCTTCAACGATTTTCAAGAGAAGTGGAAATAAAATTTATTCTTAGCTTTTTAATATGTAAAACAGTACGTGTTCCCAATGTCAAAGAAAGTTATGTGTCCATTGTATGTATGTAATTCACGTCCTTACTTAGTAATTGATTTTTAGTTTGGGTTTCCATCAAAAGTATGATGGATGTAGTGTTAGATTTTCCGTCACAAAATTTAATTAAAAGTTAACTAACTTTACTACGTAAAGAAATCTAATCTAATTTTTACCATAAGTGCGGCGATTTTAGAAATTTGTTGATTGTTCTTAACTGCAAAATACGTTTCATAAAATCTATTAAGTAGATTCAACCGTCATTTCATCAAATACTTAATGCCTATATAAGAAACGATTGAAAAGTACATTATGAAAAATTTAATTAAAGAAAAAACTATTTTTATTTTCTGCCAAATAACAATTTATTTTACTTTAAACTGAGAATTCTTCAAAACTTTTTTATTAAACTTTTATAATCATCTACAATTTGAAAACAATTTTAAATTCAAATAAAATTCTTCAAAACAAATTTAATTATTTGCAAATAAATACAATTATTTAATTATTTTTTAAATAAAAATCTCAGCTTCATTTTTTTACACGGTGAAACTTCGATTTTATACTTGTTTTTTAAAATTAGTATGAGTGAAAAAAATATTAAAATATTTAAGTTCTTTATCAAAAACAACTCAAATATGTTAAGAATTTTATCTGTCTTAAAATAGTTACTTGTAGTGTTGGGAAAATTGTATTTCATTTTTATTTTAAATTGCATATACGCTTTATATATAATTTTAAATTTATTATTTTTTAATAGATCTATTGAAAAAAAATTTTTTTGCTCTTTTTGTTTGTTCTCATACTATAGTAATACTTTTTGAATGTACACAGAAGAAAAACATAACGAAAATTAAGATCCTGTAAGGAAAACTCAATTCTCATTTTATTTATTAAAAATTTTTCATATTTGATAGAAAAGGAATTTAATTTAAAAACGGGAAAAGAAAATATAGATAGTATTCCAATAAATTTATTTTAAAAAATAAGTACTATAAAAATTAAAAATGAAATAAGGAAATTTTCATACTAAATGTGTGTGTACTGCAATTTGCTACAATATCAATACTTACTCTCATTTCAAATGAAATAAATTACTTAAATGTAAATCGACTTTAATTTTATTTTAGTTTTCAAATAAAATATTGATTATAAACAAAATACAAAACTTATTATGTTATATGAGAAAATTGATTAATACATTTATTACATACTTTTTTTTAATAAATAGTGATGTTTGTTTTATACATAATTTAACTTCCGATTTAAAAATTATAATAATTTTAAATTCCGAATTGAAAAACTTTGTTTCCACATACAATCATCAATACAGGAAGTGGCATACATAATGATGCAATACATGAGTTATTCGAAGAAACACACTACACAAAAAAATTATGTGTTTATTATACAAAAAATTCAATCCTACAAGTTTTATTTATTTTTATTTTTTTTAATTCGCGAATTTATTTATTTAATAAGAATTATTGTATACTTTAATTTAATTTTTCTTCAAACTAAATACTTAAATTCGAAATAATATATGAAAATGTTCTTTTTAAAATATAAAAATTTAAATAATGCACGATTACATCATACTTTAATATAAGTATTTTGCTGACAAGATTAAATAAAACTTTTATATTTTATTTTAAAGTTTCATATACAAAATAAAAATCAAAAATCTAAAAAAAAAAACTAATTTTTCTTTCTCCAATTTGCGATGAAAAATCAAAAAAGATTGTTTGCTGTTGCACTTTGTTCATGTTTAGAGTTATTTTTTGCGTTTTTTTGTTATTTAGTTTTATAATATTTTGACAGCAAATAGTGAAACAGTTGAAAGATAACAAGTAAAAAGTTTAAAAAGCATTTCGTCATGCGTCGATATTCAATCCATTTTAACAATATCTTATTTGACCGTATTCCGAATCTTACTTTCTAATATCATTTACTATTCAAGCAAGAAATTGGCATATAATATTAATATATTATTTTTGATAAAAAAAAAACAAAACTTAAAAAATTCGAAATATTTTGATTGTAAAGAAATTTTCCCCGCTTATCTGCATACATACATATAATTTTTTAACTATGAGTTTTCGTTTAAATATTTATTTATTAAATTCAAAATAATAATTTTGTAAATTACTAAATAATATTGTGATATTTAAGCGGGTACACTGGCGTTGACATTTCAATATATTCAACAATAACATTCATTTACTACAAATTTAATATAAAAGTTTACAAAATAAGAATAAAAAAAAATGTTTTAACACAACTTTAAGTAAGTTTATTTTTAATAAAAACTTGCGAATGTAATTTTAAAGTATATTTTAATTAATTGCTTGTTACTTGTTGCCCTAAATCTGTTTTCAGAATCTTATTTACATACTGTTTAACAGCTGGTCACGGATTTAAATTTCATATTAAATAAATTTTTTTATATTTGTTTTCATTTTTTTTTTTAATTATATTTTTTGATTGTTAAATAAAATTAGATTTTTATTTTATTTTATATAATTTATTTTTAAAATAGAATTTTCGTTTTTTAAAGTATCTTGTTTATAGTTACTTTATTTTTTATATTTCCTTATAATCAAACATTTTCTCGTTACTTTTTGTATTTGTTCTTTTTTCATGTTTACCATATATGTATATATTATTTTTATTTATTTTTTTTTCATTATTTTGTGAATTTTTTAAAAAAAGTCTAATATTCTTCATCTTCTGGTGGTATTTCATCTGGTGGAGCAAAACCATCCTAAAAAATAAATATTAATTTTATGAGTCATTTTTTTATACAAGTACGACTTTTCGATGCTACTTGACATACGTAATCACACTGAATATTCACATAATTTATGATTTATGTGTACATAACATATATATGCACATAAATATTTTATAAACATTATTTTTCAAAAAAATGTTTAATAAACGTAAAATAAAATATAAAATATACTATTTTGATCAATTCAAAATTTACGTAAAATTTTTTTATTATTCAATATTTTTTTTATTAAATTCAAATTTTAAATTTAAATCGTATCCATAGACATTAATGTTGTGATATATGTATGGCAAATATTTTGTAATGTAATTAAATAAAATTAAAGTGAACCACACAGTGATCAATTATAAAAAAAGATACTTAAGATACTAGATAATTCAACTCGTTAGTTTTAATTAAAAGAAAACATACTTAATATAACGATTTAATTTAAAATGAAAATATTTAAACGTTATTTTGGCAAAACCTTTATTTATTTTTAATAAACTTTTCTTGATTATTATTAAGCTCGAATTTTAAAGTGATTGTTCCTATTTATTATTGAAATCATCCCTATCTGTTTTTGGAAAACGTTTATTTAAACATTTGAATGATTCCATTAAATTTGAATATCAAATTTTAAAGAAAACTTGCAAAATCAAGAAATAATATAATCGATTTAATATTTATTCCAATTAAAATAAATTACAATAAAAACATAATATTACTTCGCTGATTTTTTTAAATATACATTTTCCATCTTGAATGTTAAATGTTACTTATTTTAAAATTTTCAAGCGTTGACGAAGAAAACTTAAACTATTTTGGTAGTAAAGGAGTGCGGGAAAATATACAAGACCAAAAAAAAGAAATTACTTTCAATTTAAAATTCAATCATAAACAAAAATGAAATCCAAAACAAATTTCTCTTTATTAAATATGGAAAGAAGTTCATTTTCTTACATTATTTTAACATTTTCAGTTTTTTATATCGTACGATTCCATTTTGGCGGTTTTTCATAGGAACCATTAATATCGAAAATGGTTGAAATTATTAATCCAAATAAAAAATAAACTGCTGAACAGCACCAAAGTTCTGAATCAATTTTTTCAGTTATCAAAAGAAAAATTTGTTTGAGAAATTTTACTAACATTGAGCCTGGTTTATCGATATTGGAATTCTATCCTTTGACAAAATGGAAAAAAAATTACAATTTTATTAAAGGAATATAATTAAAAAAAATTAATTGAAAAGTTGAAAACTGTAGTAAGGTCGAACAAATTTTTCAATAAAGAAAAGATTGAAAAAAACATTCGTCGTATTTCAAACAATTATTTCAAGAAAAATTCTGGTTTCTTTAGAATTTGCAGTAATTTAAATTTTTTAATCAGACTGGACAGTTTTATTATTTTAAATATTATTTATACTTTAATTATATTAGTGTAATTTTCGTGCAAGTTTATAAATAACTCAGGCATTTTTTTAAAACTTACATACGCTTAAGAAGAATCACAACTAAAGTTTAATATTAAAAAAAATGAGATTTCTTTAGTAAATAAACCGTTCCGCAATAAAAAATATTGTAAATGCACAATCAGTAATCATTGTTAGTTTAACGTAGCATTTTAAATGAAATCATTATTGGCAAACCAAAAAAAATATATTATGATTAGATTTATAATGACTTGTTGAAGAAATATTTTAGTAGAACTCCATGTAGTAGGTTGGATCCTGAAATGTACAACGGCCTAAGTCCAATAAATGTAATTTAAAAAATTTTATCAAAAAACATTTAATCAATTTTTTCGAAAATTATAATTTTTTTTTTTATTGTAATTTAAGTAATACTGATTTCAAATCGTTTTGTTTTCTCACCAAAATAAATATTTTAAAACGTCTGCACATGAGTCTATTTGAAAATTCTTGAAATCAATAATAAAACTCTTACCATAGAATTTTTATTATAGCTTTAAAACCATTATGGATATTATAAATAACCTATTATAAAACACTAATCAACTATTAATTTGTCACCAAAATTTAAATAAGTAAACACATTATATAATTTTGAAGAATGAAATCATATAATTTTAGAAGCTGCATGCTTCAATAAAAGAATCAATTAAAGAATCACGAATATTAATAGTAAAAAAATGAGAAAAACAGATTAAAAGCAAATTATTGTCAACATTCACATTAAGAATGAATAAGGAATTTATTTTAGATTATGAATACTAAGAAATAAAATTTACACAATTTTTGAAACCAGATTTTATGCGACCAACTTACCTCTGTTGCATATAAAATCTCTAATATTTTTTCAGTTAAAGGATTAGGCTGCTTCTCTTGTGTATCTTGACATCTGCATTAAAAAATATTAATTGTTTTGAAGTTCCAACACAAAACTAATTTTTCTTATTTCCTACTTACAAAATTTCTATATCCCGAAGTTTGTTAAAATAAAAGTCTCTTTCTTTTTCCAGACCTTCTAAATTCAGTCTCATGTCTTCAATCTGAAATAGACAAAGTAAAATGTGACCAAAATTCATATGCATAAATTAAAAACTATTTTTCTTAATTTTCAAATTATTGAATTCGTGTATACATCTTATTGAACTAAATTTCACTACAAAATATATTTTTTTCATAAAGCTACTATCTATTACAAATAAAACTTACTTGTTTGGACAATTGATCAATCTGCTGATTTGATACTTGATTATTAAGTCCCGATTCTGAACTTTTGTTAATAGAATTCCCTGTAGATGGACCCCGAGCTGATGGTGGTTGTTGTGTACGTGGTGGAACTCTAGCCGTTACTAAAGGATTTTTTTGTTGTTTCATTTTAAGAAATAAATACAAGTAAATATTATTTATATTTTTTCATTTTCATTTTACAAAAAAATATTTTACAACTCACAAAAAATATAATAAAAAAAGCATGCCAATAAAATAAATTCATTTTTAAAAAATGTGCATGTTCCTCTGAAAATTTCGTTATATCACATATAATATATCATTAATGAATACACAACGAAGCAAGTTGATTTATTAATCATATGTTTTGTGTTTGAATTAGTATAAAATATGTTTAAAATTAATACAAAAAACATTTTAAAATAAATTCATAAAAGAAAATATGCATAATATGTACATCTATATTAATTACAATATTTTCATTATCGAACCTTATCATTAATTAATTAATGATTAATCAAAATTTTAAACAATTATTTTCATTAAAATATAAATAAATTGACGATTTACAAATATTGAAAAATAAAAGTTGTGGTCAACCTAAAAACCTTGATTTTTTCATGTTTTGTAATAAGGTATCGCATTTTTATTTAATTTTAGTAATATTTCAAATTTGTGCACATCAATATTATGATGTTCCTTAAAAAAAACGAGAAATTTAAAGTATATAGCTAAATATGAGTCTAATTTTTCAGAGCATTGCATTAAAACAAAAGTTAATAAATAATTTAAAAGAACTTATAAACAAAAATAAAATTAAACTACACATAAATTTAATATATGAAGTTAAAAAATTTATATTTATTTTTAAGATGTTTTAATCTGCTAAAAATTATTTAAATAAGCAATAAAAACAAATCACTGGCTTATAATCTTGAAATATTGAAGGTATTTATATTATTATTTGAAAAAAGTTTAGTTTCAACAAAAAATGAAAAATATTAACTAAAAAAGAAAAAAAAATGTTGTTGCAAGAGCAAATTGAATGTGGCCATAAGTTTCAAAATAATTTTAAAAAAAGGTTCTTAAAATTAGTTCATTTACAGAAAATATTAGTCAGTACTGCTATTTTTGTTTAGTGAGGTTAAAACACTTTCAAGTTGAAAAAATTAAATGAGAATGAAATTAAAATTTCTGGATTTATTACATTAATTTTGTAAAATCGGAGTATGGAATTTCAAAAATATGAATTGTATTTTGATGTATTACAAAAAAATCATAAATCAAAAGAAATGCTTTTTATAAAATTTAAAATTTTTAAAACACAAACTTAAATTTTGGACAATTCGAACGATGCTTTTTCGAATGAAGTCGATAAGAACCGGTTAGAATTACATGTATAAACAAATAGTAAATAAAGGCTGCCTTTAAACCCTTTGCTTTGGGAAATTCTTTTTTCATTATTACATTTTTTCATTGCGTTTTGTTTAATTATTTTAGTAACATATTTAATATTTTGAAATTAACTAAATAAAATTAAATAAAAAATACTCAAAAAAACTAATAATTTGCAAAAGACTAATTTTTAATATTATCACCATATCCAATTAATAAAATCTATCAAAACAAACACAACAAAAAAATAAACAAAACAAAATAAATGTTTAATAAGAAATGCACTTAAAAAAATTAAAAATATTATTTACAAAATTTCTATAATCCATAAAATTTAGGAAATTTCAATTATTTTACCAACGAAATAAAATTATAAAATAAAATAAATGTCAAAATAAAAAATTAAAAAAATAAAAAACATACGCGATTTAGCAGTAGTAGTATTATTGATAGTTGTACGATTTGGTACTGCTGTTGCATTATTTGGTTGCTTGCGCACAATTCCACCAATTGATTTATTAGCAACACCAGCTCCTGAACCAAAACCCATTGGTAGGTTATCTCTAGCTGTAAGTGCATCATAATCTCTACCATCATAATTAGCATCAAAAAATTTTTTAAACCATTGCAAAAACTCAAAATTATCTTGAAAACGACCTTTAGTTAGTTTATCAATAGGTATTATCTAAAATTAAAATATTTCCCAAAAACAATTTTCAAAGCAAAAAAAAAAAAAAATACTTTTTTGTTTGAAAAATACTTAATCATAAAATTAAATAAGTGAAGAGAATTAATCAAAGGGTATATGTGTGCCTATGTATAAATTATATTATGTATACAAAAATAATTAAATTTTAATTAATAATTATAAGTTATCAAAAGATGAAGTATAACAGTTTGATAGATTATTAAAAAAATTCGAGAAATTGTTAAAAATTTTGTATAAAAGTATCCATAATGAAATATAAAGATATATTTTAACGATTTAAATTTGAACTTCTTGACAGAAATCGAAACAAATATTGAAATACGAACAGTTGTTCCTTCTTATTACTTTGAAAAAAAATTAAGGAACTATGTTAAGCGAGAATATTGATTGTTAAGGTCAAAAAATATTGTCTTCAAAACAAACCCGTTAATATTTAGAACATGAGGACTGAAATTATATTTAGAACACGAGGAACGTAGTAAGAAGATTGTATTTTGAACTAAAAGTTTAAACTGAAAATAACATTAAAAACATTTTTTGTGCTTCAAATTAAATTATGTAATCAACGTTTTTAAAAATTCTTACACAATAATTTGCGATCAAACTTTAGCTAAATGCACTAGTGATATTAAATTATTACGGTTTCAGTAATTTCGTTTGACACATTTTAATTAAAACGCTTTTAAAAAGTTATCGTGCATAAAGAATGATAAGCACTAAAGAGAGTACTTATTAAAATAAAAGCGCAAAAGAATGAAATATAAAACAATTTTTTTGCTCAGAATATGTATAAAAATAATATTAATAAAAATATTAAGAAGAATATCTTCACTTCCACAAATTAATATTTTAAACTTTTTGATTGGCAATTTAATTAACCTTAATGGAACATATTGAGAAATTTAGAAATTAGCATATTTTTTATGTATGTTACAGAAACTTTTTTTTTACAAATACTTTTGTAATTAAATGGAGCATCTGTTATTAAGTTATTTCTTAAATGGTATTTCAATTGCTTACAAATATATTTTAAAAATTTTTATTGTAATTCTAGTAAATTTCTCTAATATGTCTATGGACGTATTTTCACGTTATTTAAATATACTTCCATATTATTTTAAATTCTTTTATTTAAATATATAAAGAGGCCTATTTTACATATATGTATTTGTATATATATATATATATAGATATTGATGAATGCCTTAATAATATTATTCCAATATTTTGTAGCTTATTTTCGCTAATTTTAAAATAAAAACCATTTCCAAAAGTGCTGAAATATAAATCAATTCTATGTAAAATTACTTTTAAAAGAAAAAGTATAAAAAATTCTAAATCAAATACATTAATTAATAAACATAAAATTCCAATTCCATTTAAATATACATACATATAATTCATTTAAAGTAATGGAAAGAAATTTACTAAATGTTTCAGATTATTTATAAAATAATTTTATGAAAAAACATTATGTCTTATAGCAAAAATTATTTTCTTAGTCGTCACCATGCACCATTTTTCTTTGATTTATTTCTAAATAAGAGTTAACGTTTTCTATATAAAATAAATTTCAACAATTTTTAATATAATTATAAAAAAATTTAATTTGTTTGCGTTTACAAATTAAATAAAAACAATCTGAATTAATAGTTTAAAATATCAGTCCTGCGATTGTATGGAAAAACCAAGTAATCTAATGAACATTGTCAATAATGGGAACATTAAATAAAATAAAACAAAAAAATTTAAAAATGTTTATAATATTTATGTGGTCTGCATGTTTGTTTTATGTTTAAATGGTATGCATGTTCGTATTCTGGTTAAAATTATGAATTAACACCTAATTTTGTTGAAACTTGGTTACATTTAGAAAAAAAAAAACAACAGCTATGTATGTACAAACAATAAAATCAACTTGCAATTCTTTTTTTGTTTTGATGAAAAGATTTCGATCAATGATATGGTATCACACAGCCCAAAGTACCAAAAAAACTTTATAGCCCTATAACATTTGATTAAAAAAAAATCAAAAATTTCCAGAACAACACAATACACTCAAAAAATGTATTCTTTTTTGGATTTCTTAAAGAAACCAAATTGTGAAAAACAACATTTTCCATTAATTTTCTAGCTTAAATTTTGAAAAAAAAATAACAAAACTAACTAGTTGAATTTGAAGTTCTCGTTGTCGTTGCAGAACGATTTGGCTGTTGTATTTGTCTTTTTTCTGAAATGTGACCATCATGTATTCCTCCACCACCTGGTCCATTACCAAGTTTTATGCCACCACGTGCTATATATGGTTCGTATTCACGCCCATCATAATTTGCATCGAAAAATTTTTTAAACCATTGCAAAAATTCAAAATTATCTTGAAATCTTCCCTTTATTAATTTATCAACGGGAATTATCTATAAATGATTTAATTTTTTGGATGTTCGATTGTTTCGTTTTTGTGTTTGTTTTTTTATTTCATTAAAAAACGATTGAAAAAATATTATTAAAAAATATTCAATTATCAAACTGCTGTATATAATAATAAAGATGTAATAATCATAAATATATGTAAATATATTTAAATATTTATATCTAAACTCTTATTGGTTTATATTTACTCGTAACTAAATAACAAAAATCAATCCTAAAATAATATAAGTACGAAAAGTAATTTACCTTATCGACATTCATTTTTTTAAAAGATGCTTGTAATATTTTAAAATTTTGTATATATTCATGTTCCAAATTGGTGCGAAATTTAACGCGTTTCATTTGAACCGAACCAGGAAACAACATATCCATAAATTGACAATACGCAGCGCCTAAAAATATATTTAAAATTTAGAAAAAGAATTTAAGTTTAATTATGTAAAGTAAATTTATTAAAAGTCATAAAATTGAAATTTTTAACCAATAAAATTCTATGTCAACATTATATGACTGCATTAGATAGGCATGACAACATTAATTCAAAATTGTTTTATAGATCGAGAGGAGATGGCTCTTTAAAAAAATTTTTGTAATGGAAATTTTAACTAAGTCTTACTCGAAGCCTAACCTAGATGGTCATCTATAAGTTTAGTTTGTAAACAATTTTTTAAAATTGATTTTGTACAGGATAAAAGCTTCACTTTAACATAATATGAAGCAGATTTAAATTTGTAGCATTACATTGTAGCAATACATTTTCAAAAAAGTTAATAATAATAAATATTCAATCATCGATTTTGAAATAAAACTCTAATACATAATAACTTAAAGCCCTTATCAGTTCACAAGTCATTTATTCAAGAATCTTATAATAAATATTGTCCGAAGTAGGTCAACTACTATTTTTAAGAAAATCGAATTTCTTTATTAAATTTAATGGCATACTAGTACTGCGCCTATCAAAATTTGAGTATTCGTCTGTTTGTTAAGAAATTCATTTTTTCTTTTAAACTTGACTTCAATCGTAATAAAAATATAAAACATACATAAAGTTTAATTCCTCCTCAAAAATTTCAATTTCTTAACATTTTCAAAAACCAAAATACATTATGCAACACACCTTAAAAAATTATATATTAAAATAAATATAGGTAGATTGGCATAGAATTAACAAGCGAATAAATCAAAATTATGTTGGTTTTGATTTGAAGCATTCGAAACGTAAAATTTTTCTACACCTTTTTTTTTTTTTTTTGATCATCCACGGGGACCAAGGCCCCTAGGCCCCGCTCACATCGACCCATAAGATCTTTTGTGATTCCTATCCCCCTACATTAGCCCTATTCCGCAGTATGGCAGCCACATCAAGCTGCGAGATCCTCCCTCGGGGTCACAAAGCCCCCCAAGCACCTCAACCGCAGGCGAGCAACCGCCTCGCACTCACACAACAAGTGCTCCATGATTTCGTCCTCCTCTAGGCATAAAGGCAGACCTCATTCGCCACCCTGCCCATCCTTTTCAGGTGGACCCTCGTGAGGCAGTGTCCAGTGAGAACCCCCACTAACTACACTTTACTTTCTACACCTTACTATACTTCGAAGCATCTGAAATTTTTTTGCTTTCAAAATGCGCTATATATTAAAACTTTTAAGTTCTTGTATAAGATTTTAAAATAATTCCTTCATAATAAATTCCGTAAATTTAAGATCATAATGTTTATCATTGCATTTCAAATAATTAAACTCAATGTAATAAAATTGCATTCAAGGTAATACCTTCAAAAGCATGTTTTTCATTTGCCCACATATTTAAATTTTTATTATTTTTTTACAAATGTCTTATTGGAAATAATACAAAAAATGTTTAAAACAATTATTTAACCTTTAAACTACTTTATACAATCTCCTAGATTTAGATTGATATTGTAAGAAAAATTCGTGAAATATTTCTAGTAAACTTCAGACAACAAGATGGAATTATATACATACATATAATTTTATGAAATTCTATGAAGACCGACACTTCAATTAAACATATACATGCCCATAATTTTTATGAAACGTTTTTCAACTCACATCCGTGATCCTATTGTTAAATGGATCAAATAATATTTTTATCATCTTCTTTAAAAAAAAATGTGAAAAGTAAAAACAAAAGCATATTTGTATGTTTCTTTTTGTAGATTCCTTACCTGTACATAGCTCTTCAATTTTTGTGAATTGTGCCTGTAGACAATCATTAACCCACGACAGCATGTCATGCCTGGATAGATTTTCAGTTGTAACATTTGTTGAATAAACGTTGACTGCCATTTTTGGAACTAAAAGAAGAAAATGAAAGAGCAAAATCATTAGCAACAATTAACAAAAAGCAAAAAAAAATAAGCACAAAATTATTGTAATTATTTAAGCATATAATCTATGTAGAAAACAGAAATAAGCGCAACCTAAAACAGAAAATCAATAAAATGTGACATATGATTTAATTAAAAAAATTTTTTTTACTTATTTTATGGTTTTCTTTTTTTCTCTTTTTTTAACGGAATAATACGAAATCATAATAAAAAAGATGAACGATTATTATCATAGTCTAATTTTTCATTTCTGTGCATAGTTAAACTCAAAAGTAAATATGAAATTTCTTCTAGAGCATTCACAATATATATATCGAATTACATAAACAGATTTAATTTTGTAACTGTTACATGTAATGTATTATACAACGAAACGTAGACAAGAAGGAACTCCAAGTCATTGAGTATTGTGTTCAAAACTTAAAGTTTTCTAACTTATTTACTTTCGGAACTATATTATACAACCCTTGTTCTATCGAAAAATTACAAATGTACTAACTTAATATGACGCCTTAAATGAAAGCTACGATAAAATTATGAAAAGCTTCTTTCAAATGTAGTAGATTAGTAATAAACTTTAATAGCTTTTTCAATATTTATTTTCAAAAAAAAGAAGGAAAAAGTCATTGATCTTGCACTTTACCAATATCAAAAAAGAAAAAACATGTATGCAAACATTGAATGAAGAAATAAGTAGATATATCGATTTTATTTTTAATACTAACAGTAACGGTCTATATTTAAATATACATATATAAGTAACAAGGATTACATTAAATTTAGATTAACAATGAAATTCGTAAAAAAGAAGTACAATTTTTTTTTGTTAATATTTGTTTTAATCAATAATAAGAACACGCGAACTATATTTTACGGTAGTTTTTCGAAAAAAATTTCTAAAATATATGTAAGTGTAATGTTACTTTCTCTTTGTTCGCGAATCTTTACTATAGAACTTTTTAAGTTTTTTTTTCATATTTTTAAGTTATTAAAATTTTCACATGCCCAAAATTTCCTAAATTATTCTTTAAACTGAAACTATGTACGTACTTATGTACATGTGTGACTTCATAGCTTCTGGGAGTTCCAGTAGCACTCTGGTTGCTTTAAAAGCATTCTGATTTATACAGGTATTTTATAAGCATATACATAAAAGCACATTTCCCTCTTTAATTTTACTGGCCTAATTTCTGCAATTTTACAAGTAGAAAATTGTTATTACATTTCCTTCTCTGTTCGTCTATATTTCTCTTTCCCTTAAAATAAACTTACATATTTTCTTAGACATTTAAGAAAAAAAAACAAGTAAATAAATATACAACAGACATTGTAATAATAAAGAATTACTTTACAATTAAATCTATAACTAGTAACCTGTAACACGTTGATGGGTAACATGGGATTCAAGGTGAATTTATAAGTTCGTCGGTTTCAAGCTGAGTCATTTCAAATCGAACTAATTTTTCTCTTGATTCATTGGTTAGTATGGAATTGGTTAATATGGAGCGAACCAATATTAATCCAACTTAATTAAAAGTATTTTCGATCTTCACATTATCACAAAATTATTTAAACACATACTTACAATTCAGTTGAATATACCTCATAATCTCACTCATATTCACACCCATAAGTGCTTTCAAATTATTGAAGGAAAAAAAATTGTAGGTACCTACTTATAATATCGTGCATAGCGCAAACTGTTACAAAAGAAGGAAATTAAATAATTATGCAAATCTTTATTCAAAAAAACCTCAAATCTTTGATAATACAATGAAAATCCTTTATAATAAATGTATCAAATTTTTCAGTATGTAGATATACGTGAAAAGTTCATTTTTTATCTCTTCTATAAAATTCTTATTACTCTATCAGTATATAAGTAACTGAAGTATGTACTAAATTATCAGACATTACATATCAAATACTCGATCTGAAAGTTTTCATATAAAAACAAAACAAAAAATACCTAATGAAAAAAAAATTGAATAGAACAAAAAAAATCAATACAAATATCCACGTTTTTTAACCTGCAAAATGGAAAACTTTACCATATTTTATACGGAACTGAAACAGAATAAATAAACATCGTAAAATTCATAACCGCAAATTTATATCCGAGACGCTTTGGAAAGGTAAACATAGCTTATTAAAAATTCAATATATCAAATGACTCACTTTCAAAGAATATCCATAAAAAAAATATTTGCAAAAAAAAAAAAAACAAAAATCAATTTTTATTTTGAAAACCTAGTAGTCGAGAATATTATCTGTGTATTTACCGCCCACCTTTAAGATTTCTCAATTCAAACACATTATACTATTTTGTAGATTGTAGATAAATAGATATAAAAAACCCAGTGCATACACTTAAAAATATGTACATATTTATAAAACGTTGTTTTTCATAAATTGACAAATTTTGTATATATAATACATATGTATATCTATACTCTTTTTTCAAATTCGCGATGTATGGGTAACCGTTTTCCCCAGACATTCTGAAATATTCGAAAACAAAATAATTCGTATTGTTTTTTAACATTTGCATAATTTTATTTATAATATATGCCAAATAAATCTAATTAATATTATATATTTGTAATATAAAATATATATATATAAATGTATCAAAATATTTGCCACTTTGTTATACAGAACTAAATTCGTAATTCAAATTTTTTTCTGCATAATATAAGTTTACTACAAATCAAAGTACAATGGCAATCCTAAACATTCATATAACAGTTTTCAAAAAAAAAAAAACGCAATGCCAGGCAAATTATTTCAAGAGTAAATCATCTACACTAGGTTTTTTTTTAATTCAGTGGTTTTAAAACAACTTGCTATTCACGTAATCTGCATCGTATGGCAGAGTATGACCTAGAAATTTTTCATAATATATTCAATTATTTACATAAAATTTTATATTGTTATTTTTCTTATTAATTTTTAAATAATTTTTCCATTCAAGTAACAACTACACAAGAGAAAATCATTTAAAACGGTAAGATATTAATGAAATAAAATAGTTAACATGATATTATTGTATTTTGTATTGAAATCGAATGTTCGGAAATGTTTTATATTTACGAAAAAAATTAGATTTATATTCAACAAATCAAACTAATAAATACATACATATGTATGTACATATATGAAATAAAAATTACTAATTCAAATTTTTATTTATTAACTATTATCATTTCGTACATACATGTGTAAATGGTTTGTTTTTAAATATAAATCTAATTATAAAAACATTTTTGTTTCAAAAAACTTTGCGGTCTTTCTCAATTCGAACGAAATGTAAGAATGGGTTCACACAAATTTTTATTTTCAAAATGCTAGTTCCGATTTTTTTTTTTGATTCGTAAATGTTACTTTTTAGTCAAAAACAGCTTCTTAGGTGTAAGAAAAATTTCTTTTAAAATTCTTTTGTATAATTAAACGACATCAAATTCTTTATGAATAATAAAATATCAGTTAAGGAAATGCTTAAAGATGTTTACAAAGCCAGAAATAAAATAAATCTCACTGTAGACTTTTGTCCATAAATGATAAAATAGTTTTTCCATTGTGTTTTATTTTATTTTTAAAGTTTAAAATTCATTTTGAAATTATTTGATTTAAATTTTGTACTTTAATATAAGCAAATTTTATCAAAAGTGAAAGAAAAGAAAAGCAGAATGGAAATTAAACGCAATGTTTTCTAGTACAAAAACAAATGAGTAATAAAAGTATATGTGCTGGTGATTCAGTGTAACGTTCGAATGATTCATTTATAAGAAAAAACAGCACAAAACTAAACTCTCGATCTTACTTTTGTTATTAAGTTCTTACTCCCTAGCAAACTCTTCATAATAGATTTAACACATTAAATATCAACAAAATAAAATTTTAATTTTGTTTTAATTTCAAACTGTAACTAAGTAAATATATAAATTGGAAAATACAATGTAAATTTCACATTATAATTTGCAGCAAAAAAAATTTCGATACATTGCTTTAGAAAACTTTGAAATATTGTTTCTAGTTTACAGTTCAAGATTTACCGAAATTTGTATCCCGATCAATTTGTAGCTTCGATATGGACTATAATTCCCATATGGAAATTTGTTTAAAAAGTTTAAAGCCATTGTATCTTATAATGATAATACTCCGTTATTTAATATCATCAAAAAAAAAAAAGAACAAATTATATTATAAAATCTTCTTATAATGTTTATATAGAAAATTTAAGAATATTTTAAAAAAGGTACAAAATTTCCTATAAGCTTTGTTGTTTCTTTACAATAGTATTAATTTAAGAAAGTATTAAAATTGAGAGTCAATTGCTTATATACCTATGCTATTATAATATACACATTCATATACATATGTATATATTTTTAAATTATAAAAATTTAAGATTTGAACAGCTTCCATTCTTTACTCAAAAAATTATTTCAATAAAAACAAAAGTTTTTAATCCATAATAATACCAAATTCCCTAGATTCAAATGGAACTGTTTTATAATACATAAAAATTATAAAAGTTTTCAAAAAAATCTATTGAAGACATGTCAATTTTTGAAATAATGTATTAGACATATTAAGTTTTTAAATTAATACCCGAATTCATGATATTGTTGCAATCTTACAAAAGTTGAAGTACAAGCTCAATATCAAAGAGTTTAAATATTAAATGCTATTATTTTTTAAAACATTCAAAATTTAATTTCAATTCAAGTACGAGGGTCACTATTTATATTTCGGGTCCTGGCAATACTAGTGCTGCCAGGTGCAATCTGACACTTCCATTGGAAAGTTTGACATTTTTTAGGACAACTTCACTCAGAACGTTTTGTCATTCGAGCGCGAATTGTTTTGTTTACAGTGACTTGAAAAATTCATCTCGGTCAAAAAATGGAATTGTCCCGTGAAAATTTTCGTGCGATGATTTTTTACGATTTTCGGCGCGGATTATCGAGACAAGAGTGTCTCGATCAACTTGTTTCGACTTTTGGTGATGAAGCACCATCAAAAACCACTGTAAATCGCTGGTACCAAGAGTTTGGTTTCGGACGCCGTTCGCTCCAGGATGAATTTCGTGAAGGTCGGCCAATTTCGGTCGTTTTGCCGGAAACCATCGATGCTGTGCGCGAAATGATAATGATGGACCGGCATGTGACATACTGTGAGATTGAGGCATCCTTGGGCATTAGTTCCACCAGCGTACATAAGATATTGCATGAACATCTTGCCGTGAAAAAGGTGTGTTGTCGATGGATCCCAAAAAATTTGACGATCGCACAAAAGAAGGCTCGTGTCGATTGGAGCAAAGAAATGTTGAAAAAATTCAATCGCGGTGCGTCAAAAGACGTTTATAAGATAGTCACAGGTCATGAATCATGGATCTATGCATATGAGCCCGAAACGAAACAGCAATCGACCGTATGGGTGTTCCAAGACGAGCCAAATCCAACAAAAGTTGTTCGTGGAAGAAGCACATCGAAGCAAATGATCGCGTTTTTTTTTTGGTATAACCGGTCATGTGGCCACAGTACCTTTAGTGGAACGTAGGACGGTCAATTCTGAATGGTACACCACCATCTGTTTGCCGAAAGTTTTCGAAGAAATAAGGAAAACAAACAAGCGCCGGCGAATCATTCTTCATCATGACAATGCAAGCTCTCACAAATCAGCTGAAACAATGGACTATTTGAGCACTCAAAATGTCGAATTGATGGGTCATCCGCCGTACAGTCCTGATTTAGCACCCAATGACTTCTTCTTATTCCCTCACATCAAAAAAAAAATGCGTGGACAACAATTTTCAACACCTGAAGAAGCAGTCGATGCGTTCAAAAACCATGTTTTGGAGGTGTCTCAATCGGAGTGGAAAAAGTGCTACGAAAATTGGTTTCAGCGCATGCAAAAGTGTATTGATCTTCATGGGGAATATTTTGAAAAACAATAAAACCATTTCCAATGATAAATGTTTGTTTTTTATTGTTAGACCCGAAATATAAATAGTGACCCTCGTATATACATACCTTCAAAGTCTTAGCAAATGCATATTATCAAATTAAAACATCAAAAAATCTATTCCAAATCAGTCTGACATGGAATATATTCAATTAATATTCCTTAGCTAAATATTCCTTCGATTTCAATGAACCAGTTAGCAAAGAAGAAAAGGTCTTTTGTGAAAAAAATTGGTATGGTCAGTACAGAAAAGTCACACACATTCTTTAAGTTACACGATTTACATACATATATTCCAAATTTAAATCCATTTATAAAATATATTATCTACATTTAATAGAAAATAGCAAATAACTAAGTATTTATGTAGACACCTGACCTAAGAATGATTATGTAGTATTTGTTCAGATACTCGTATTCCACAAAATAAAATTTAAAAGTTTGCTGTAAATTATGCAGTATCTACTTCTTTAAATAACATCATTAAATAAAAAATTTTATAGAAAAATTAAAATTGCGTTATAAATTTTGAAGCTTTCGCGTTTAATGTATAAACTGGAAAATCTAACGGTAACCCATAATTTTAAGCAAAAATTATTTTCCCAAAATTTTTTTTTTTTTAAAATAGCGAATTTTGTTAATGAATGTAACGAAAATTTAAAGAATAAACACAAACAAAATGTTAAAAAAGCTATACAACAACAACAATACCTCCATAAAAATTTAACCGGCTTTTTTTCTATGTACCTACTTATATTTTTATTATTTTTTTATTTAATTTTTTTTTAATTTTACTATTTTTTGTTCTGCATTTTAAAATTCAATTATGAACCAAATAATATTAGATAAAGACAACGCGGGTCTATCAATATTTTAATAGACGCACTTATATTACATAAAACATCTACGAGTAATATTAAAGTAACTTTGAAAATATTTCAATAGATCCAATTTAATTGGATCCAATTTTCAAATAGTTTTTGACTTTATAGGGGACCGTTTGCTTTTCCTTTTCTTAATATTTTTTTATAAATATTTCCAATTGCTGGTTCTTTTTATAGTTATTATAAATACGTACATTATCTTTTATTACAATATATTATGAGGGTTTTTTTAAATCAAACTTTATTCGCTGTTTCTATGACCACTGCCATTGCAGATACAAGAATTCGCAAATATGTTTTTTGTAAATTTTAAATAGTAATGGTAATACGAATTGCAATATTAAAATTTTAATACATGTTATTATAAACAAAATTTCAACTAAAACTTATTTTTGCAAGCGCCAACTATCAAATACATAATTTTAATCAGCTATATTTAAGATTATATTAGGAATGTATGTAAGATTATATTACAATATTAACGTATTTAAACACCATTTTTGATGTTAAATAGAAAATAACCAGTTATCCCACTTTTTTCATTATGACACCCAAAATAAAACTACATTAATATTCAGTAATGTATGACAACATAAATATCAAATTTTTTAAATTTTAGAAATACATTTTATATTATTTTATTATAATTAATGAAAAAAAATAAGTTGCAAAAATTCTTGTGTATTTCAAAAAATGAAAAACATTCTCATTATTCTAATTCAACCTATTAAAAATGACCATACATTAAAAGTTTTAGGTAGATCCTACGTAGGTACTAATTTTAGTTTCTAATAGTTTTAAAAATGTTCACCTTTTACTTTTCCCTAATTGATTCAGAAAACCAAACTATTTCATACAAATATGTAAATATATTTTCGCAAAAGTATTATTCAATGTACTTTTTCAAAAAAAATAAAGGGACATTGAACTTTTTATTGAAGGGCTAACGTTCTTCAATACTCCAAATAAAAAGAAAATAAACAAAAAAAATCACTCGCAAATTTAATTCTCAACATATTTACAAACACTTACATACAACTACAAGAAATATACTAATTATTACTTCGGTAAATATTCGTCACTATTTTAGTAATAAATTCATTTTCTATTTCAATAACTAAGTATTTCTATTCGTTATTAAAAAATAAACGTTTTTATTTTTTATTACAGATTCGATTTCTAGTTTTTTTCATTTTTGGAAGTAAATTTCCTTGTAATGTTCCTTGTAAAGAAAATAAAATATAAATATATGTATGTACACAGGTTCATGTAAGTACAAATAATTAGCCTACAAATTAGATTTGTGTTTAAAATACGTATGATAAAATATATGTGTCTACCTACATATAGTCATATGGTCAAGAAAACAAGACAGAACCTATTTAAACTTTGCTCACTACTGAAATATTTTCAAATACAGAAATTAATCGATATTATTGGTAATGATTGTACCTTATGGCATGTATAACACGTTAAGTTTACAATGATCATTACTGCAAAATAAATATGATTACAACGAAGTGGTAATTATAAACGTAACACATTGTTAATATTTCTCTAACTTCAATTTCAATATAATATAATCTTTCAACAAATGTGTACAAGTAAAAGGTACTTATAACTACATATTTAACTAAATTTTGACTTCTCAATTACCTAAAAGAATTCAGCAAACTAAAATGTAAGAATATCTCATTTAAAAACTTCTTTAATTAAAAATAGGAATTCATGCAACATAGAACACAAAAAAAAGCCAACAAAAATGAATTAAAATTAAATAAAACAATATTTTCCAAATTTGAAATTCTAAATTTAGAAAATATTTATGCATATGTATGTATTAAAAAACTTCACAGTAGGTAGGTAGGTACCTACCAATTCAAAAAAATATAAGCATTGGAAATAAAAAGCATTGAACTTTTAGTAAAGGTATTTTGATTTTCTCTTTATCTTAAAAATTTCTTCAAAACGTAAAATCAAATTATAAGAGAAAGGGCGGAATGCCAGAGAAATTAGAATAAAAATGTGACAAAAAACATTCAATTTTTCAGACCTAACTAGGAAACTCTAAATTTTATCCAAAATGTTTTTGGGTCATTCCGCTCGTTTTGGGTCTGTTATATAAAACAAAATATTCGTATATGATATCGAATCTAAATTTGTTTGTAGGCACGTACTCATATTCGTATTTCAATCATATATTTTATTTTACTGAAATTATAATATTAAATTCATGTTTATGAAGCTGCACTTTTTACTAAAATTACCATAAAAATTCTTTGAACAGAATGCAACTCATAGAAAAAACTTCCTACTATTCCACAATGACGTAATCTAAATAAACTTAATAATAGCACGCATTTTTCGAATACTTGCGTTTAACATTTTAAAACTTTATTTGGATATACTTAATGATTGATTTTGGAAACCACATACATACATACATATGTATTTAACTATTTAAATTGTTCAACTTAATGCATTTTACTTAAATTTTTCATTTGTACCCTGTACAAAAGTTTAAAAATAAAAGAATAATATCACTACCTATAAATATGAATTTTTTTCGTTATCTCAAAATATATTAAAATTATATTTATTTTTAAATAATTTTAGCTGGCTCTGAGATTTTTTCTATAAGCCGCTGTTAGTTTATGCACATACTTTACGATTTTCAGAATTTATACAAGCCCCAACAATTTTCTCAAATTTTAACTAATATTTACTTTTACTTTAATTTGAAGATAAAAATTAATTTATTTATTCACCCTTTTATAACATAGAAAGAAAAACACAATTTTTTAAAAAGAACTCACCTTTTAACAAAAATTAACACAAATATTAAAGAAAATTTCAATCACCTTTACAATCTTTTTAGATTCGTTCTTTTTGACGCACTGGCACAAATTTGAAGTTGATTTGCTGGCGACGTCAAAAACTTCAAATTTAAAATTTCTAAATAAATCTGTGTACTTAAAATGAATTTAATTTCATTGTAAGTTGCCAAATTTTGGGGTACGCTCTAAAAATTATTCAAAAAGTATTATGTAGTATTGCCACTATTTTGCCAATAATTGTGAACTGAGTTGTACTACCGTTTGAAAAATCCGTACCCCACTAGTGTTTTCAGCGGTCATTACTTTTGAGTTTTTATTACGTTTCCTTCCTCTTTATCGTACAATGAATTACTCGTATCATACTTTTTGAATCCAAAAAATTTTGAGGTGAACGAAACAATCTATTTAACAAAAATTCGGAAGACCAATTTTATCATTCATTTTTTGAATTATATAAAAATACCTATGGTTAGGCATCTATTTTCTATTCAAAAAATTTTTTCATTGAAAATTTTAATACTTTTCCGAAATATGAAAATTTTTCTTTTAAGTGTGTGAAAATTTCTCCCTTTCCTTCAGAATAAAATACTTCTAAGAGAAGAAAATCAGCTTTGATAAAGTACATAATATTCGTAATATAAAATAAACGAATTTTATTCCGAATGAAAAGGAATTTTCTTTTTATACCGCTTTTTTATATTCTTTTCCCTTTTAAAATCTAATTTCAAATACACGTACTTATAAATAAAATGAATTCAATTTTTAAAGAGTATTACTCAGTAGTGTGAAAATGAAGCGGTATTAAAAAATAAAGTAATTCGGTTTATAAATTGCGAATATTTAAAACATTGTAACAAGAATTGGATGTGTGAATTCTTATCAGATTTTCATCATATTTTTTACATATACAACAAAATCAAGGACTTCATCTACAATTGAGACTCTTTACTAAGATCGACGTTAAAGTCTAAGGAGCATTTACAAATCAGATTCATTTTATATAATATATGAGTAATTTTTGATAGGAAATATTTAAAATAAAGTATTAATTGATGCTGAAAAACAAAATTTTATTTTACGCCATACTATTTTTAAAATTCTGGCAGAATATTTGATGATAATCGAATAAGTTTGTATTTCTTTTTTCATCAGATTTTATCTTCGATTTCACATCAGATCTTCATAATTATCAGATTTAATCATAGATTTAATCTAGTGTTCAACATTCACCTAAGGAGCTTTAAGCAATTTCGATTGTGGACATTTAAATGTACATGAAACCAATTTTGAAAATCGCATGCCGTACCATATATCTGGCAATAATAAAATAATCGATATGTACAGTACCAGCCTATCCCTCATTATATATGACAGTTGTCTTTTTGGCGGTTAAGAAATATTTATTTTCCTAAAACTTTATTACAATTAATAATATTCACATACACACATATTCGATAAGGAATGGAAACCGGTGTTCAGATAAATACTTTTTACGTTTCCCAAAAAATTTCAAAAATCAGATGGATTCCTGAGCCCTTGGGACCACCAAAGAAATTTATTACTGGTAGTTGGGACAATGCTGGAAAAAATGCCATTAAGCTTTGGAAGCTTGTTAAAAATGTGTATTTTAAAAATGAAAACGAGTTTGTTCCTAAATGTGCTGATAAATTTTCTGTCAAAGAAGATATAACAGACGTCGTAATTATTAATTCCGAAAAGTTTTTGTTTTCTTCTGACGATGGTCATGTTCGTCTTATGCATATTAACGACCTCAAAGATGATGCGCAAATTATTGAACAAGAAAAATCTGAAACCCTTCATAAAAATCAATTTAATAAACCCAGCAGTTGTACAGGAATTTCCGTTTTTGATAAAAGTGTGGCATCAATAGGAGAAGATGGGAGAGTTAATATTTTAAATCTTAATAACTTAAAGAAACATTATCAATTACAACAAAATGACGATAGTTCTTTAACAGCATTATCATTTATTACCCTTGCCGAATTATTGGTTGCCAATAGAATGGGTATAATAAAAGTTCTGGATACTCGAACAAAAAATTTAAATAACCCCCTTAACTTGATTGTCTCCCTAGAAAATGAGAATCGGTCAAATATCGCAACAAGTTTATGTTGGCACCCTACTCAAAAACATATTATATTCGCTGGTACAGAGGAAGGTTCAATTACTATTTGGGATCTTAGACAACCAAATTTTCCAGCGTCATATTTAAGTGCACACAGTAGCTCAATAACAGAAATAAATTTTGACCGATCCCAACACACAAAACTGTACACGACATCTGAGAATGGCGAAATGTGGCAGTGGAATCAAAATAGTTCTCTTGATTTACAATTAAGCTCAACAAATTTGTCTGACATGTCGGAAATTAATCCATGGTTAAATGGTGAAAGAACGAAGTCAAAAATAAATGTTACATCAGTCATATCTGGAGTAGGTAAAGCAATAAATTCTTTCGATGCTGTGAATTCTAAAATCATATGTGGATGCGATAGCGAAGCTATTTATCATATTGACAACATTCTAGAGGTAGCTTAATAAAGAAATACAATTATAGAATTTAATTATACAATTATAGAATTAATTAAAGAATAACACAAATTAACAATGAAAATAAATTTACATACTGAAAAAATCTGAATGAGATGTGATTTTAAATTTGTGTGTGAACTTAGGATGTGAAGATAGAAACTTGCACCTGGACAAGTATGCAACATAAGATTTCTAATTAAAAACAAGGTAACGTTGACAAAGAATTAATTTTTTTAATATACTAAATCTGAAAACTGGATAATATAGCTTGACACAAGAAATTTATTTCCGCTTTTTCAGCTGCTCCTTTGCTCCATCAATTTCTTGTTTAATATTAGTTTTAAACGATTCTACAAAAGACCTAAAAAAATTCTTATTTTAACAATTTAATATTGGGAAACTTAAAAGACATACTTAAACCGTTTAGGGCTTAATTCATCAACCTTGTATGTTTCAGCAAAATTTTTTGACTTGTAAAATAAAGATATTGTAAGTTGAGCTGCTCTTCTCACAAGATAACTCTCAGATAGTTTTTGTACTAATTGCTCGTTATTGGCTAAATACCTAAATATCAATCTTAGCACCATATTTATTGTCTTCGACGATAATTATAGTTGAAAATTTTTATATTTTTTTATTAGTTGTTGTTTTAATTTAAGTTGATTTTTTAACAAGTCTAGTTGTTGTAATTGATCTTCTTTGTTGTAATTTATTCCTGATAGTTGTTTTATTTGAGTACGAGCACTTTCAAAACGTTTTTGTAATTCTAAAATCTAAAATAGACAAGAATTTTACATAAAATCTATGTGAATCAATTAAAAAGTACTTTCTGACTGCACTCCTGTGATTCCTTTTGTTTTGCTGCGTTATCAATTGGATCTTTTTCTACACTAAAAAATTATGTTTCAGTTATATAAATTATACATGAAACGTTCCGACATTAAAATTTACCATCTAATAATGTCGTAGATTACTGGCAGTATTTCAATGTCAAGTTGGTCTACTGTCAAGGTACCAGAGGAAATAGTTGACTGTGTTGATCCTATTATTTGCGGTTTTTTATCAATATGCTCTGATAAATTTTGTTCCATTATTAATTGTACATAGAGAAATCTATTACGAATCCCAATCTAAAATCGAATTAAAGAATTTTTTAAACGTCGGATAAAAAAAAAAACCATTTTATTTAACACCGAGTCAAACATAATTTATCACACATATATACATTTTCACATACCAATTTTGAGGTTAAAATAGCGTCGTATTTGACATAAATACTGATAGACTACCACTTTATCTCTTTGAGAAAAATGAAGAGTTTACGTCAAGTTCTAAAGAATAAGAAAAGTGTAAAGTTTACGAAGAGTGACGTTTTATATAAGTAATGTAAAGTTTAAAGTAGTCATGGGCAATATCGTTCATTTCAGTGATTCGTTCTGAACGAACTACTTTTTTTCACTGGCCGATTATAAAATCTCGTTCAATCGTTCATTTCGTTCACTTTCCTTCTGTAAAATCTCTTCTGTATCGTAAATTATTAATTTAATTTTGTGGTTTTTGTAAATTAGTAATAAGTTTTGAACCACAAAATGTCTCTACTTATATAAACCAAAAAGTTTAAAATGGAGAGAAGAATTTAAAACTTTGTTAAATTATAAGTAATTTCTTAAATTTGAAGAAATAAAAATTTTAAACCATTTGAGTTTAAATTTAATATTCCCCACAAGAATTTTATAGGAAAAAATATTTGTAACTATCTTTATTTTTAATACTCGAAAGAAACTGAAATACTATCCTACTTTAATATTTTACTTTAATCCCTAATGAGTTATAATGTTAACTTATAATAATCAATTTTTTTAGTTTTTTCTTTTATTTAAAATATTTAGGTCGATCATAAAGCGATCATAATTATTATCCGTTTTTAAATATTTTATGGATAAATATAACTATATAACTATATATATTTATCGCCCAGTTCAAGGCTTCCTTTCTTTTATTTCATACAGGTAGTTTTCAATTTGATATGGAATATTGATAAAAGCAAATGAGAAGTAAAATATGTAAATGAAATTCTATACACACAAAAGTGACCGAATTCGTTAATAATCAGCTAATATAAATACAATACAAGTAAAATTGAACGATATACTAAATCCAATACAAGAAATAAGGAATAATATAAAATGTATATCAATTACCAATGTATATGCAGTCATATTTTTTTAATAACTAAAAAAGAAAATTGGAATTCTTAGTGAACGATGAACGATTCATTTTTGAAGAAGTGTTAACTAATCAGCTAAGTTCAATGAAGTGATTCGTTCTTTAAGTTACTTCGTTCGCGAACGACACATGACCTGGTTAAAGCTATAAATATGATTAAGACTCAAAGATGCACTATAACATTTTACAGCTTTTTTGAAATCTCTTTTTTATGTTCATATTATATACATATGTACATTCATTCATATTATAAAATTTTTAAGTTTTTTATATAATGCAGTTTTATCGAATATATAGTAGATGAAAACTGAAACTTTAAACTGAAATAACAAGCTTGTAAGTTTTTCAAAAAACATTTGTTTATCCAAATGTTTGATGCACTATTGGAAAAAATTAAAACGTACTACTAACAATATTATAACTTCCGTCTTAAATTTAATTTTATTTTTCAAAAAAGAGGAAAAAAATGGACAAGAATGCATGTTAAAAAACCTTAATATTTCAGAACCCGATCGAATTTTTATTATCTTCAGGGTCCTTTTAAAAATTTTATTTGAAAAAATCATGTAAATAAACATATCCATACATAATATGTACATAAATATATAAATAAAGTTTGCTTTAAAAATAATCAAAAACTCTAAATTAATACTTATTTTTCATATTTTTATTAGCTCTATTATTGCATTTTATTTTAGAATAACTGTTTAAGTTTTCTTTTCCTTATATAACCAGTTTTAAAGATGTACATTTATTAAGTTTCTTTTACGTTCTAAAATAATACGACCGAGATTCATGAAATTACTAAAATTACATAACATCCTTTGCAATATTTCTAACATTAAATATGAAATTTTTGTATTACAAATATATCATAGCTAAAAAATTTAAAAAAATAGCATATTTTATAATTTTTTATAAATTGCAATTATACATTGTTCATAAATTTTTAATTATTATTTAAATCAGTCCAATTAGTTTATTTTTTATTCTTGGAGAATTTTAAGAAACAAAAAAAACGCATAAATTTTATTTGAAATTTACACATTAAAATACGTTTACAATATTCAATATTTAAAATTTTGATTTTTACGTTATTTCGAATAATTTTAGAATTTTTTTATAGCAAAAATTGTTTGTATAGTTTCAGAAAAAGAACACAAAGATGAAATTTTTTAATTACAATTTGTTACGAAACATAATGTATAACTGAAAACAATTGATTTATTTACAATAAGTACCGTAAAAAATGTTGTAGAATTGCTTACAATAAACAGTTATAATACTCAAAGATACTATATGGGAAATACTTGATATTATTAAATAATAGGTGTTTGGCATTACAAGTTAAGATCAAAAAACTAATTGCAATGCCAAAGAAAACTTAATCATTAATTAACTTATAATAAATTTCTTAAAATATTAATTAAAGTATTACAAAATTAAATAAATAAGAACATTTATTTGTAAATTTATTTTTACACATAAAATGGAGACTTGGAATATTTGTGCCTCTTTCGTTAAAGGAAATTGATAAAAACTGAAATATTAGACTTTAAGAATTTTGAAAAATTAATATTTAAAAAATATCTATTGAGAAAAATTTAAAACAAATTTCTGGCAAAAACATAAAAAATTATTTCTTATGCTACTCTTTATATATTTAAATACTGTAACCTTTTTGCGTTGTGATTTCTTGCAAATAATGCGATAACACGACTTTACAAAATCAATAACTAAAAGTAATTTTGAAATTTTTTGTGCATTTCATATATATACTCATAAATACAAAGTCGCAATGCTCAGAAATTGAAGATTAATTCTAAATGTTTAATTTGTTACAACATTTCTTTTGATTTTTGAACGTTTTTTCTTCCAATGTTATTGTGCCATGTTTCAAAAATAACCTTTCCATCTACAATTTAAGTTTTATATGGTGTATATTCAAATTTTGAGTTAAAAGTTTAATATGAAAAAAATGGAATCAAAATAAAAACACTAAGAAATTCAATTATATTAAGGCCAATTTGAATTATATGAAACAATATAAATTCTGAGATATTAAAAAGAATTTTTGTAAAAATTGAAAAAAAAAATCCATTTTAATCCATAATTTTTTAATAAAATAAAATATTTTAATTTTTTAATAATGCTTAAAATTTTAAAATTTTACTATTAATCTTAAATTTTTATCTGAATAAAAATTTGCTTTAATTTTTCGACAATAGTCTGAATTATTTCGTTATAAACAAGAAAAGAAAGCAACATAAGAGGACATTGAAAGCATACATGTATAGTATAAATTTTAAGGAAATTTATCAAAATCTAGCACTAATCTAAAGTTCTATATCACAAAAAATATTCATAGAGATTAGAAATAAAAACGTATGAGCAAATTATCAACAAACTGCATTTCATAATACTTTAATTAAAAAAAAAATTAAAATCAAAAATGCATTTGTTATTGAATTTAATTGACTTTTCAATTTTCAACATTCAATTCAAAATAATATACGAAAATAAAATAAATTTAGTATTAAACTATTTAACTTTAAATATTATCAAATCAAGTTTTAAATCAACAAAAACAAAGTTTTAAAAATAAATACATGTTTTTTAAATATTTTTCAGTTTGTTTTAGATTTTTAAAATTCTATTATGTTATGAAATGCATTTGATATTATTTAGATAATGTTTTTTGTTAAAAAAAAAGTATCTTATTATTAACCGTCTTATACCAGAAATACTATTTTCTGCTTCTACCTTTTTAAATACCATTTCTTATAGCTTTTTTAGTATAAAACAATATTTTATAAAATTCGAATTAATAATCGATGAAATTGAATATAAATAGACTTTATACAATGACTAAATTAAAAAAAATATATGTATATTTAATTTTTTAAAATAACACTTAAATTAAATGTTTTGAACTATTTAATTTTTTCCATTAAAAATTATGTATTTCAAATTCCAAATTTTACGTCTAGTTATCTATCAATCAATTTTCATGGTTGCCAATTAAAGACTCCTCTTGTTCTTCGTCATTGACCCTAAAATAATTCAAGTGTAAATTATTATTTATTGATAATTGTTTCAAATCAATTTAATTTTTCAAAATAAATATGAATGTATATTCACATGAATGTATATTCTATAAAAAATTATTAAAGAGCAACAAAAAAAGCAAACGTAACCCTTTCAATTGCATAGCCCAATTAGCTTTTTCCGATAATTAAAACAAATTTTGCTAAAATTTTTAACTATAATTTTCATAAATTATATTATTGTTATAAATTATTTTAAATATATTTTAGTGATAATTTTGTTTTGTCACAACTAACAAAAAAATAGGAAATGTTCGCTTTTTACTCACCTAACAATATTAGCTTGGCGACAAACACATAATTTCCTATGGCAAATTTTCAATATTTTCAGAACAGGATCTACATCATCATTTTTCATTAGAATGGTTACTATTACTAAACTTAAAAATATTGGTATGGAGCCGCAATATAAAAATATTGAATAAACTTTGTGATGTATTAATAAATCAAATACCATTGAAAGTGGTATTTGTAATGTCATTGACAAGGTTCCAATTAAGGACGATGTCAAAAAACACCCCCTTAAAAAAATTTAATCAGTTTACATTATTACAAAAAAGGAAGTATAATATGTATTTACCAAAGCCATAGCGCTTCACTTAATACTGTTCCTATGAAACCATTAAGAAATAATACGGCGAATTGCCGTTGATTTGGAAGTTCAAAAGTTTCAATTTGCAATAAGTTTAAAATAAAAAATATTGGCCACATTAGAAGTAAATTAAAAAGTCCCACGAAACCTTAAATAAAGTTAATCAAAATTATAATATATTATCTAATTTATGACATTAATAAATCAAACCAAAAAATAATGGAATGTCAATTTTTTCTTCCGTATCGCTTTTTCTTTTAACAAACACCAGGTACGCCGCGTAAAAAAATGCACTGATGAGGGCCAAAACAATTCCACGGGAGTATTTTGATGAATCTGATATTTGAGATATTGTTACCATTATCTAAAAAATAACTCCATTAGAAATTCTAGTATTTTAATTAGATAAGGCATACCACTCCAGTAATATTCATAATTACAATTAAAAATTTTGAGTAAGTAAATTTATCGCCAGCTATTGATGGATAAAATGCAGCTAAAATAAGAGTGAATAAACTTGAGGTTGAACTAATTAAGGTAACAACTGCTGTATCAATTAATTCTAAAGATAATTGAAACAAATAGTTAGCAACAAACCACTAAAAAAAGAAACGAAAGCTGTATACCCCCTGTTAATTATTTTCTTAAAAATTTACCATAACACAAAATAATAGTGCAGTTCGAGCAGTTTTATGATGCGATTTTTGTCTACGTATTCTTAAACTTGCTGCATACGACAAGCGGGACATTAACGCATCCGTGGCTTCATGTGCTGACATTTCGCGAACTTCTGCCATTTTGCTAAATCGGACACTGCGTATACTTGAATCATCACTTTCCGTACCAGAAATTGTCTCACTTCCAGCGCGGATGGGTACAAAGGATGGATCACTCTAAAAGAACAATTTAAAATTTTTGTCATATTTACATATTTTTTTAAATTTATTGGTTTACAAGAGAGTTCTGATTGGAAAAATAATTATCTTCTTCAGCTGAGTTTTCCATGATCTAAAAAAAAAATTCTCTCACTAAATTTATAAATTTTCGAAAGTTATATACATATGTAAGTACTACATACTGAATAATTTTTATTTCGCTCACAAGTTTCTTTCCATGGCGCCATCAAAACAATTATTAATAAATATAAAGTAAACATCGAAGTTTTGAAATACGTGCAAAAAAATGGTTTGTCATATTTCTCTTCATCATATATATACTGAAAGTCAAATAAAAAATCTGTTAAACAGTTTACTTTACATGCATATGTAGGAACATAATTTAAACAAAATTTAATTTTAATTTACAGATGAAAGCACTAAATTCATTAAATACATTTTTATTCCTACATTTTTTGAATAGAAAACTGTTAAATTTACATCTTAATATCAATCAGAGTTTCTAAGTTCTATATATTCAAACAAAATCGTTATGTAAATTTTGAATTTTACATCTAAAGAAACTTACCTTAGTTAATTCACTTGAAGACACCCATATAATGTCTACAAGAATCAGTAAACAAATTCCTAACAAAAGTTTTTGAACTTTTATGCTTAGCATTTTCTTGTTATGTTCTTAATTTTTTTGTTTTCTTTTTGTTTTAATTTGTGTCTTTTAATTAATAAAGTTGTGCGATTTATAAATTACTAAATAATTAAATACTGATAACTTAAAGAAACTTTTATTAAAATTATATAAAAAAAATATTAATTTTTTGAAGCATCGATTGTGACTGCTCTTCCATTTTTGCCTGTTTTTTGAATTAAAATCTAAAAACAAAATAATGATGGAGATTAACATTACCAATATAAAATAATGGAAATTCTGTTCTTTTTAAAATTGTATTAAAATGAATAGTTTGCATCAAAAATTATTATGAAGAATACGAATAGTATGGTAGGTAGATCAAATTACCTATACCAAATAAAACCGTAAACTGGTAATTTAAATTGCTTTTATGTAATCAACATTAGCATCCGTTTATAAAATATTAAATCGCTAGTGAATATATTATAAAATATTAAGATCGCTAGGTAATTAAATAATTTATTCTGGTGTTTATTGACAAATAGAGTTTTAGTAGTACGGAAAGATCTGTTTCTCACTACTAAACACACTTCCATTATTATGTGAGATGTGAGGGTTCGGTTAAATATTGCACCATAGTTTTTTTTTCTTGGTTCAACTGAGGAATAAAACAATAAATATCATCCCATTGAAAGTTTTCAAATTTACCTTTGCATACAAAAAACAATGGTATTGTATGCATTCAGGTACAGTGCTTTCCTTCCATGTTAAATTAATCAATAAACACGGTACTTATATATTGGATTTTTAAGTTTCGGTTTTACATTATCGTCTATTTTAGCAATTTTAAGCACTTGATGAATTTATCATTGATTGGTATACAATGAATTACATAAATCTTATTTTCAATTGTTTATTTAGTTTTAAAAATGTTTTTATTTTACCTTAACTAGAACTTTCGGCTATTGTCTAAAGTTTTTCTTCATTTGTCATTTTATTTTTTTACTGAAAAATCTTTTTCAGTACCACAATGTAGTTTTTAACTGAACTCTTTTAATAGTCTTAAATAAATAAATCGCTCGAGTTCAAAAAAATTTTTGGATTATAATTTTATTTTTGCCAAAATCCCAAAATCTGTCAAAAATAAATTTCATTATGACGTTTAAATTTTCAGTTTTTGCACGCTTTAGTTTATGCTGCAGCTAAACCGCGAGTCGCAATAAAAGTAGTGTTAATTTTTTTTTCATGTATGGTTTTGTTATGATTTTTTTTTTGATTCACCACTTGACATTAAAAAAATCGCGTCTGGACCCAACGAATTAGAAATATTAAAGGAAGAAGCATCTTGAAAAAACAATGAAGCCAAATTTTTTTTAGTTGTTTCTTTCTTTGCTCCGAGCATTGTCAAAGTCGTAACAGAAGTGTATTAATTTTATTTTCTTATTTGACCTTTATTACCTGACCATTGGTGCAGTGGTTATGGCACCGGTCCTTTAACCGAAGGGTATCAGGTTCAAACCCCGGTCAGGTCACTATAAAATTATATTCAATATTATTATAACTTAATATACAATACTAATAAGTATTATATAAGTAATTTTCAAATATTCGTAATATCCGATATTAAAAAAAAAAAACTAAGAAAAATAAACAGTAAATATTAATAACCTCAAATAATTAATATAAATGAAAACTACGGCAGGCTAGTCACCTACCTAGTTAAACTCTATGACGCTATGAAACTAGTGCATGAGAAATCATGCACTAGCCCTATGCTCCTTCTAGGAGTGAATAAGGAAAGAAAAAAAAAAATTCGACCTTTATTATAAAATATGTATAATTTGCAAAAAGGATGAGTCAAAATTATTCCAAAATATGTTTTTATTTTGAATATTTGTAAAAAAAAAAATGCTCCCTCCTTTTCCTTTTTTTTTAAAATTGCATATTTACTTTGGCCAAATAACATTTCTGAAAAATCATTTTTTTGTTGGAAAAATGATGATTTTTGCCTAATTTCATTTTTCTAAACGAAAAATTGACTAAAACCTAAAAATTTTCATACTAAAATAAAATTTGAAGGTTTTTGAACAACATATCAAAATTTCAAATTTTAACTATAGTTTTTATTAAATATATCTCAGAGAATTGAGATATATTTAATTGATTGTTAGATATTGATTTGAGATGACTTCAAATAAAGTTAATTAAAATTTTATTAGATTTTATTTTAGAATTTGAATTTGTAATTATTTTATTTGAAGTTTTATAATAATTATAATAGTGCTTTTATAATTTTACAATCATTATAGAAAATGCATCGTTTCAAGTTGTCCTTGTATAAAAACGTTTATATTCGTATTAAACTTACTAACAAAACAATGTGAAAATATTTCGTAATATAACTAAAATCACATACGTACATACCTAAAAATAATTATATGAACTTTTAATATAAAAAGAATACATAATACTTTACAAGAATATGCTATAATTTCTAAGAATTATGAAACATATTAATTTTATTGATATAGTATAAGTATGAAAATGTATAGATATATGTGATTATACATTTCCACTATAACTATCAAATGTACATTTTCTCAAATTTGAAAAAATGCACAAAAATCAACTTAAATTTTTGAAAAAAATACAGTATTTTTTTTCTTGTAGTGTAGCATTTCATAAGATGTAATTATGTGTAAATTCGTCAGCTGTGAACTGTCATCTTTCTTTTTTGTCGTCTGTATTGCTGTCAGCGTGATTCATAACAGTAAATTTCAAAAAACCAGCTGTTTCGTCTACAGATTTCAATGAATTTTGTTTAAAGACATATGTTCTACTAATAAACGGTTTTATTCGATTCTAAAATTTTATTCAGTTTCAATTTTTTATAAGAAAAATAAATGTAGTTGTCTAAATATAAATTTTTGTTTTCGAATATGTTTCTTTTAGTCCCTAATCTACCATCGAAATATATCGATTTAGTTCAAATAAAAATTCGATCATATAGATACATAATGATCACTGTATAAATAAAAACCACTCACCGGTATCTGTGCATCACAGAACAAGTGATTTCGGAACATGCTGCGTTGCAAAGTTTCAACGTAGACGCCTTTATGTCTGAAAAAGTTCCTTAAATAAACGAAAGTACCACTCATTAACGCATACATAAGAAACAAAACTGAAAACAATATTTTGTTTCAACACTTCAAAAATTTTCAACACTTTGCTAGTGAGTAAATGACAGCAAATATTAAATGTACGGAAACTCTAATTTTCAGCGAAAAAAATTGAAATTTTAGTTTTTGGGAAACTCCACATTTAGCGATGAGCGAATAAATGACAGATCAAGGTCTGGCCCGTTTCGTATTGTTTGCTTTCAAAACAAAAATTATATTCTCATATATTTAAAAAAAAATTGATGTAAAATTAAAAAAGTGTATTTTTTTTACAAAGTTGAAATAAAACCTACAAACGAGAATACTTTGTGCAGAATGGCAGGTAATTTAATTTCAAAGCTCTGGTTTTTACAAAAGGAAAAATTAGCCAGTTTCATAAAATATTAAGCTGGATAAATCGATAAATGATATTAATTTTCTAAATATGATTTTCTTTTAAGAATATTATTTGTTGAGGAATTTATGCAATTACGATTATTTGGTTATATTTTTAAAGTTTGATAATCTATAATTTCAATAAAAAAAATCTAATTGATATCTTGTATGAGAAGGGGGCCTGAGTTTATAAACCAAATCGAAGAGATATATACCTAACTTCATATCTACATATATCTTATTTGTGTTTACACAATGTAAAAATTTATATGCAACTCAAATAAAGAAGTCTAAAAATAAATCCAAAAATACACAAGGACTGCATTCATGTCTCATAAAAAAAAGTTGACTCCTAGATATTGATTTAATAAAGATGAAATAATTCAAATATGTACTTACACAATTTCATAAAAGTTATACCTTACCAATTTAAATCGATATAAATTGAAATGATATATAAAAACGTTTATTTTGGTTCGAAAACAGAATCATGAAAACAAAATAAAAATATAGTTATTATGAATGTATGTAATGTACAATCCTTACATCATACATATATGTGTATAATAGTTATGTACCCACAGAGATAGTGTAGCGTATGCTTTGCAAAATAAAATTGGTAATAGCCAATTTTATGTAGCCTTGAATATTATTTTATTTCTGCACTTTATTAAAATCATAGATCTAGGTCACTCAATAATAATGTTTGAATTTTTTTAGGTTCTATTGAAGAATTGATTAAAAATCTTAAAGATATTTCTTTAGAAAGTGAAGAGGAGAAAGCAATAGAAATAATAAAACATTTATATAAAATCGAAGTCAACAAATTGGAAAATTACGATTTTGTAGAAACGTTTTTACCGCTACTGCGGCTGCAATCAAAATCTTTACTTACGGAAGTTGCAAAATGTATCGCTGAAATGACAAAAAATGAGCCACAACGAAAAAAATTCACGAATAAAGAAATTATCGAGTTACTTATTAGAAATTTACATAACTTGGAAGAAAATTTTGAAATTGAGCCGATAATACAGGTATGTCGTGCTCTTGGTAATATTTGCTATTTAAACGATGAAGGTCGGTCATTTATATTAAGTTGCAAAGGAGATGAAGATTTGATTAAGTTGTTAAATGTTGAATTGAAAGAAGTAAATAAAACGAACGAATGTCAATTTATAAAAGTACGTGGTGGCCTTATATCAAATTATTTACTAGGAAACGAGAATTTAGCAAAACATGCTATGGATTTAAATATAATGAAGTATATCGAACATATATTTGATAATTCGGTGAAAAATGTTGAAGAAAATGAAATTTTATTATTGAACACCTTACCAATTTTGAGTATATTAACTGAAAATGTCGCAGATTTGAATTTTAATTCAAAATTAAATATTCAATTAGCCGAGATATTGGCAGCTTCCACCAACCCCGACTTAGCTGAACTATGCCTGGAACTTCTTCATTACCAAGCTGAAAACGGTACATTATTTGTGTGATAACTTGTATTTCAATTAAAATTTTTATTCTAGACGAAGTAAAAATATTGTTGGCTAAAAGTGGTTTGTGTGAAACAATTTACAAACTTTTAGAAACATACAAAAATCTTGCAAGCAGTAATGAAGCAAAAGCTCTAATGAAATTAGCTTGCGATTTAATAGTGTTAATACTTACTGGAGGTAAAAGTAATAAAAATAAGTGAAGATTATTATTGAAACAAAGTCAATTTTAGATGAAGCAATGAACTATTTATATTCAACTCCTTTACTGAAAGACATGGAAAATTGGCTTGATTCTAGCGACACGGACCTATTGACAACTGGAGTTTTAGCATTGGGCAATTTTGCCCGTACTGACAGTCATTGTATATATATGGTGGAGAATAAAGTTATGCATAAACTTTTAGGTTGGAATTTTTTAAAATATTTAATATTAAAATTAAAACTGAGTTTTGGTTTTTTAGATATTTTAGCTAAAAATAACAGTGCAGTTGATGACATAAGGTTGCAACATGCACTTTTAAGTGCATTACGTAATTTGGTGATTCCAAAACCTAATAAAAATGCTATAATTGAAGCTGGTTTAGTGCGTACAATATTACCAATGTTACAAATACATCAACCACCGGTTGTTTTTAAATTATTAGGTACTCTAAGAATGACTGTAGATGGACAAGGTAGAAAGCGAGAATTATTTTAAAGAACAAAAATAAAAGTTGATCTTTTTTTTAGAACTTCTTGCCACAGAACTATTACAAAATGAGGAATTGATAAAGCAACTTGTACATTGGAGTAAGTCCTCGGATTATGCAGGCGTAACTGGTGAGTCTTTACGATTGATGGCCTGGTTGATAAAACATGCATATTTAACAAAAGCAACTATGGAAACATCTGAAATAAAAGAAGTTAATGTTTCAATTGATGATTCCCTTTGCCAATCCTTACAAAGATCTGAGAGAACAAGTTTAGAAAAGTTTGTAAAAATAAACGGAGCGGTTGAAAGTATGGTTAACATGCTAACTTCTCAACATTTAGTAATGCAAAACGAAGCAATTATTGCTTTGATAGTTCTTTCTATAATGTTTCCTGCAGCAAGCATGACTGAAGAAACAAGCCCATCAAATTCCGTTTCTGACATTAATCTAGACGAAATTTACATTCAGTGTAAATTAGGTGCACAGCTAGCGGAATTTCTTCAGCGTACGTCAGAAAGTATGACAAAAGAAATAATTGAAAATGTTCAAAAATTAGTTTCTTTGTTGAAAAAGTATGAAAAACTTGTAACACACTTAGAAGAAAATAAAATTGATGTGCTATTAGGTTCAATACCTATTTTAACAGAGTATTGTACTTTATAAGATTATATTTAAAAGAGTTCGCATTGTTTACGTTTCAAGATAAAATTTAGTTTGAATGAATGTACAATGGTTTTGAAGAAGGTTGTAAAAATGTGGTTGTTCACAGAATTAATGTGAAAATTGTCAAGACAAATGGAAAGTTTATCGAAACAAATGGAAAATTTTTGAGTAGTAATTTTTCATAGAATACATTGCACAAATATTTATAAATAATATTTTTAATAATACGATCTACACACTTTATATTTAATTTTGAATTATTTAGGCTACAATTTTACTATTAATATCATATCAGTTTTATTATCAATATGAGTAAGTAAGCCCATTAAAAATAAATGTTTAAACAGATATTTTTGAAAGCCATTAGCCAAACATTAATGCTGGGTATAAAAAGTATAGAATTATAACTAATTTTGAAGAGTTGTAACTTGCTCAAAATTTGGATTACTTTCAAGTTTGTGGTTTAGTTAGTATGTGTTTTATATTAAAATATTAAATTGAAAAATACTGCAATTTACAATTTATAATTGCAAAAATTAAAGAATGCAAAAATATCAATATTTCAATTCAATTTTTTTGAGAATTTGAGATGAAATCGTACACGAAAAAAATATAAATTTAAAATTGAATTTTTTTTTTTTAAGTTTTCGGTATTCACTTAGGAAAATGAAGATAAAAATGGTTTAATAATTCTTTAAATCAAATTACATTTTTCAATTTAAATAATTTCAATTAGTCACTTTATGCTTCTTTACATTTAAAATATTTTAATGTTCTAATAGTTTTTAACTTGCATATAACCAATCGTTTCTTTTTTTTTTGAAGTTCAATATTTTTCAAATAGAAATCGGGACCAAGCAAATATAATACTGTACAAGTTATTTACTCTCCTAATCCAAGAAAACAATATTTTTCTGTTATTAGTGAACGTACATTAATTACGTGCATATAAGAATACTAGTTGTATAAAATAATTCAAAATAAATTTACTTTTGTAGTCTAAATAAATTTTATAAAATTCAAGTCCATCAAAGTAAAAAATACAATAAAACAATATAAAAGTATAAAAATACAATAAAATAATATAACAAAAATTTATTTTATGTGAATTTTGAAGTACTGCCCAAAAAATTTAATAGACTATATAAAATCGCTTTTTATACTATTAAAAATATTATCCGGTATTTTTAATATTTTAGAGTAATCTTTTTTTGTTACAATTTTTTTTTATATAATTGTTTAGTTGAATTATCAAAATTTTTTTATAAAAATTTTGATAATTCAACTAAACAGTGAAAATACTAAATTTAATTGCAGATTTTTTACATTTCAATTTCTGAATTTAGTGGAAGAAACAAAGATTTAAAATGTAAAAGTAAATTTATTTCAAAATATAATGGCCATGCATAATAAATATTAACTTACTTGTTCAATAATGGAAAGCGACTTAAAATTGGTTATGCAATAACAACTCACATTTTATAATATTAAATAAATATTTTAACGTTCATTCCATATTTTATAAACAAGTATTAGTACTCTGCTACGTTAGTTAACCAAATTTAATATGTAGCAAACTCAATTTTATTATATTATAATTAAGTTGAAATGAAAGAGTGAAATGTAAAGTTTTATTCTATTGATTTACTCTCGACTCTATTTAAATATACAAAGTTTTTTCATGATCACATAAATTTTTAATTTTTTTTTTTATATAATGATTAGAAATTTAGATTTCAAAATTTTTTATATAATTTAGAATAGATTATTATAAAGGCGCAAATAAAAAAAATATGTAATATAGTTGCTTAATTTTTTTTTAGTCAATAGTCAAAGAACAATAATTAAGGACCAATTTTTAAAAGTATTGGCAACGTGTTTATGTACATTATTCTAAAAAACATTAACATAAAAATACCAAAAATATACTAAAAATTTCTACATTTCTTTTAAATTAAAAGAAGCAATTACATACTAATATAAAATGTTTATCATGCTGGTAACAAAAATCTTCAAATAATGAAAAAGTAACCAGGTTTTACTTACACATTTGATTAATTTTTGTACATGAAATGCAAGATCGTACTTGCATCAAGCCTGTACAAAAATAGTTTCAAGACTTAAGATATATATACGCACTTAAATAAGTTGAAAATAGATATGACAAAAGTTTATTTAAGCTGAAACATCTTTTATTTATTTTTTAATTCGAATATTTTATCAACAAATAGGTTGTTTCAATAATAGAAGTATAACTTTGCATTTAACTGTCACAATTGATAAATATAATTAAAGAATTGTTTAAGATTTTTTGAAGACGGTGAAAACCCGTATTATTTATAAAAAGCTTATTCACTAAAACTAAAATTTAATTTTTTCCGAAATGAAAAAATATATAATGTCATTTATGATATGAATTATGTAATTTCATACAAGTTAAGGACTATAATCGGTTCATGATGAAATTAATAAAATAGTTATAAATATTTAAAAAATATAAATCATGTATGTTAAATTTTAATTCAATTTTATTGATACAATCCAGATAAATAAATTTGAAAACATTTTTTTAAAAATACTTGATAAGACAAAGTGACTTAGCACATAACAAAAATGCACAATAAAGCAGTCATGTTTTTACTGTTTTAAATAAAAAATTTCTTAAAATATGATTATTACTTTTCATTAAGATTAAAAGTATTCAAATCTTATTACATACTGATAAGTTTTCTAATTTATTTAAGTGACACTTTTGAACATAATTACTTAATTATATTACTAATTTATAATTTTAAATAGAATAATATATTGCAATTTTTTAAAAATTATGTAAGATACTCAAGGAGATACACTTATAAAAATGATCTAATACAAATTTAGAAGTAAAAAAAATTATAAAATATTGAACGTAAAAATTTTAAATTTTTTAAGCATCAAACTCGAATATGTAGTTTGTTTTTTTTTTAATTTTTTTTTTATCACCAGTGTAATTTTAAATATATATATGTAGTTATTTAGGAAGAGAAAAAAAAAAGAGAAAAAAACTTTTTAAATTTACACAAAAAATACTTAACGAATTCAATAGAACACATATTTAAAATTAATAAATATATATATTTACATGTATATATGCATGTATATATACATAATATGTAATAATGCAATTTATACATCTGTTATTTTAAAAAATTTGAAAAAGAACGCAATATTAAACTTTGTAAAAAAATAAATTTAGAGTTAATTAAAAAATTTTAATAAAAACTTCGTTTTGATTTGCTTTTTTCAGTATTTGCGTACACTAGTAATAAAGTTATTCTCTAGTAATAAAGCCCATTCTAATTCGCGTATACATATGATTTCGAAATTGAAAAATATTTGGAATATGTTCTTTCACGTGAAACGAAAAACTCTTAAGTTACTTTTTTTTTGTCTTTTTTCAAATTATATAGAAAAATAAGTCATATATGTATAAACGTAGATAATGTTAACATACTATTGATATTGATATAATCGATATTCTTACATTTATATCAAATCATATTACATTATCACTGTAATTTTTAATTTTGAAATATTTTGTATAATCACCAAAATAATCAGCGGTTAGTGGTATATTTTTTAGAGAAGACTATATAAAAGAAAATTATTAAAAATAATAACTATATAATTTGACAATATTCCAGAAATTCAGAAATACGAATGCAAACAAAATAAACAATCTGAAAAAAACGGAATAATTAATCACTAGTGCATTATCTGATCGAGAATTGCTCCATTCATTTGGCACAAGACAACACCCTTTATCACAATTGGTAATATGTACATACTCGTACTTTACACTCCCACAGTTTCATACTTAACACTCCTAGTTTAGATTCGATACTGAAATTCCAAATAGATTTTCTAAGTTTATATTCTCAATCTACACTTAAGTTTGATTGACTTCCGGAATATAATGTACATTGGAAAAACTCAGACGATTTTGTTGGAGTCGAAGTCTCGTCATAAGTTTCGGGAATTTTAGTTTACATCAAAATTTTTATAGCTGCACATTAAAAATAAAAACAAACATGATTTTTTAAAATACTTATATATTTTTACTTAATATATGCATACGTTAATACATACAAGAATATTTTAAATTATCTAATTCTATATAACGTTAAACTTCACATAATAACTAATTCCTATTTTCATATTTATTTCTATACAATAAACGCCGTTTTTATTAACTACATTTAAAAAAAAATAAAGAAAATATAAATTTATAAAGACCTATCCATATTTTGATGGTATAAATCAATCCTTAGATTGAAATATTATTAATTTATTACAGTTCAATTTAGTTTATTTTTTGTTACTAATATTTAATACGATATATATATGTATGCATTTTAACTATGCAAATTTTTATTAAACTTATATCAAGTCTTCTTGCTAGGATACATTATAGCAAGTTTTGATATGAAGTAAAAAACGAACTACAGCATGGTTATAAAAAGTTAATAAAAAGTTTGATTCCTTCTTAGTGTCAGATCAATCTCCATCACAAGCAATAATAAACTATATTTAGTTTATTTCAATAATTAATCGTTTTTAAAAGATATTTTAAAAAATATCAAATTTAACAAATACGACTAAATAGTAAAAACATAATATTATATACCACTCATATTAATTTAATATACATATCAAAGTTACAAAAATTAATAATCTAAAGTTTAAGTTTAATATCAAATTCAAATAATTTGGATATTGAACTTAAAAAAAGAATAATATAAAGTACTTGAAAGCTAATAAATAATTGCAAGGTTAATAATATATCTTTTATTATTAGTAATAAAAATTATATTATTAATTATATAAAATAATATTGTATTTTTTAAATTAATTTATTACACATTTTATTAATGTCATAAGTTTCTTTCTTTGAAATACATAACAATAAATTTTTTTGTGGAAAAAAATTAAGTTTTTGGATGAAAATTAATGTGTTAGATCTATAATGTACATATTATGATACTCTAATCAGATAAAAATCTTTAATATCGAACAAACTTATTTCATTTAATTCATAACAGCCTTATGTTTACTATAAAATAATTTAACTTTACAACTGAAATGATCAATCAATAAATAAAATACAAATTATTTGGAGGGGCAATGTGAAATCAAAATTTCTAAAAATCAAAAATATTACAAAGTTTGTAATACAAACATTAAATGAAAATACAATTATTAATATATAAAATGAAAATTAAAATTCATTTAAATTAATTTAAAAAATAACTTTGAAATAAAAACTTTTTAAACTGTTTCTTATTCTAGACAGTTTAATAAAGGCAAATTATGTACATATATAAAGTTTTTAATTTTTTTATAATGACATATTTCGACTTTTTGTTAAACTTGAAGAACATATGTTTAACAAAAAGTAAATATAAAAATTTTTTGGCTGTGTTTTTTAATGCATTATTATACAATATGTTTAAACAACCAAATATATGCAACATAAATGTTAAATTTTACACATGACTTATTAAATAATTGAATGTAATATTTTGTTTTTTATTTTGAGTTTCTTTCATATAAATTATTTAAGATTGAAAATTATTACGTATTTACTTTTAAATTACTTTTTCTATTAAAGTCAAGTTTTTATTTAATAATTAGAAAAATTTAACAAAATTATTTCATAATTGGATGTTATTATTTTAAAATAGATTTTTAAGCAAATTTTTTTGAAAAAGCAAATTTTTTATTGTTTTGAAAAAAAATTTAATTTGATTTTTCAGTTTTAACCCTCTTTACTTTACATATTTTTCATTTTTCAAAGTAGGCCATATCTTTTCTTATTTTTTATATGATTAATCTGAATAAATTTTTTGTATACGAAACATTATTCTTTATATTTAAAGAGTTTGCTTTTTTTCAAATAATTCAATGTTGTATTAATCTTTTGAAGTAATTATATTTAGTATTATTGCAGGCAATTTAATTTATTTAGAATATACGATTCGAACATTTACATAAAATTTTATAAATTTTATTTTCATATCTACATTTTAAACAGCAAATTGAAACTTTAATAATTAATCAATGACGGCTGATTTCCTGTAGTAATATGAATGAAACTAATTGTTTACATCATAATTTAATAAATTTAATTTTAAATTAAAAAACTTTTAATAAAAAAATTTAATTTATAAATTCAATTTATAATGAAAATATAGTTTATAGTTCATAGCTTTCTTTTCAATAAACTGTTCATGAGAACTAGTATCACTTTTTGTTTCTCATTATATTCAAATTTTAAAAACAAGTTTTTAACTAATTACTTTAAACATGAATCGAGCAAATCCATAAAGTTCTTAATATCTATAAAATTTTAATGCCTGCATTTATAGTTTTAACAAATTTAAAAATAATAAAATATAAATATTTGAATTGTAAAAATTACTTTGTCTTAAAAAGTTTATATTCATAAATCGTTATAATTTATTTTTATTTTCACAGATCTTGTTTTATTTATTACATATATTGATATTTTAAAGTTATATTTTTTATCTTAAATATTATTTAACCTGAGTTCTTAAGTGTTGCAAGAATTCATAATAAGATAAACTAGAATCACTTCTATCATCAACTAATTTTCCCATGAAAGTTGATTTACACGTACTTGTATCTCTGCAATAAACATTTATATATTTTAATATTATAGAACATCGTTTTGTTTATGTTTTAGTTGAACATATAATATATTTTATACCTAATAATTTGTATAGTTGGTAGATAGGGTTTTTCCTCATTTAAATGATCAATAAAAGATTTTAAAGCGAAATTTTCCGCTGTATCAATTGAAGGCAGATTGTAACATATATCTGGAATTTCGGCGGTTGACTTAACTCCTAAAATATAAGAAGAAATATACATAAGCAATCTTTTTTGTAAAAGAAGAAAATAGGTTTATACCTAATACATTTTCTAAAATATTTTGTGGTACATTTAAACCAACGTATATTATAATTAGTTGCCCAGAATCGATTAAAAACATTGAACGCGAATCCAAACTAAACAAATTTTTATTATTAAATCATTAATGAAATATGAATTTAACAAATACATACAATTCAGCGGTAAGCTGAAGTAATGGAATATCTGGCAAACTTTCTTCTTCATCGGCATGTTCTGGTAAATTATAAAACAATGCATCAATTTGATAGAATTCAGGATAAATATATTTCATTAATTGGTCTAACGGCAAATTTTTCATGGCATTCATAGCAGAAATTCTATCATCTAAACGAGTACTTGTACCCACTCTAAATGCCATCTTAAAAAATCAATTAAATAGTTAGTTGTTTTACATTTAGCTTGAAACTCATTTTTCATAGAATATAGACTTACATGCTTAAGTAAAGCTAATATATAAAGTGGTAACAGCGCTAAATTTTTAGGTGCCATCAGTTGACCGCTTTGTCCACCGGCATAATTTTGTCCTAATTTGAAAGCACTTAAAATATCTATTGTAGCATTTATGAAAGCTTCACGAGCGTCTGCTAAACTAGAGGTCAATGATCGATCTACAGCCATTTTCGATAATAATCCTACGATTGCTTGAGAGTCTGCTGAATGCATTACTTCATTTAAATTATTAGTCACGGGCAAGCACAGTGTATGCACTCGAATTCTACGTTCACCGTCGCTATTGGTATATAACAAAGCTGCTTGGAAGCAAATAGTTTTCACATCTGAAAGATTTTCCTCGTATGATATCTAAAAAATTGTAAAAATAATATTTTAAAATTTGTTTTAAATTAACCGAAAATGTAAATATTATTTTAAATTAGTACCTGCATACCATAACCCGCATCAGGATTAACATTTGGTAAAGAAAGAAGATCAGTTGAGCGAACGAAAAAGTTACCGTGGAATGTATGAACTTGTAAGCCTCTAGTACAACGTATACGCATTACAGCTTCAAAACCAATTTTCCCAGTCAAATATCGTTTTAAGCATTGCTTAAATGAATCAACATGATGTGGTTTTGTTTTTTGAAATAATGGAAAGTGGTGTATCGATCCCCCACTATGTTTACTTATCCCAGCTAGAATATTAAAATATATCACTTAATTCAAAAACATTTGAGCGTTTTAGCTTACATATTGTCGCCAGGTCAACGTATTGCTGATTCAAAACAAATAAATCTACAGCAATTTGGTAACCTGAACATTCTAAAGCATGTCTTTTGTAAAAATCTGTGGCCGGATTCAAATGTGCAACATCCTTTGAAGAACGATTATTTGGATCTTCGCGTGGTTCTAATAAACCAACTCCTTTGTTTGGTAAACAAGTTTGAAATACTGTGACACGACCTCCAGATGACATCTGCGAGAAAGTATAACGTGTTCAAAAATTATTTCTCTTAAATACATTAAAATTGGTGCTCTAAACTTATTTAAAGAATATTTAATTACCATTAGCTTAAAAGCAACTTGTAATGCAGCACCCAAGCATGAACCTGGATCATGAGAATCTGCAAACCTTGTGGGCAATTTAGATAAAAGATCTTTTACTAATTCTTTACATTCTTTTAAATTCACTAAAAGGTTGTCAGGACATGGTATAAATGGATCTAAAAATTAAAAATTTACAATTTACAATTTTTTATTCAAAAATATAACCAAATGTAATACCCTCTATGTCAACCAAAGTCATTTCGCGTGGTTGATTTGAACCTTCTGCGATGTTATAAAAATGAATGTGACTGTTGTAAGCAATAAAACCAACTTGAGCTCTTGCATCACCAGGCATATCGTCTAAATATTTTAATAACGCACTGCATGCAACATCGAGATAACCCGATTGTTGAGCAAGAATGGAAACATCAAAAAGGAAAAGATAAATTGCTGGCTGTGGTGGACGAAGCTAAAGAAATGCAAAAAAAAAAAAAATGTTATTGTCTGTCATATATTTTAATTTTAGAAATTACCATATATTCCGAAGGAGCAATAAATTCTATGGTACTAGAACGCACTTCTGGACGCCGAGTAACGTCACCATAAGTTTTTGAAGCTGGATCGTAATGAAAATCATCTGGGACTAAAAATTAATGTAATGGCGAAAATGTCAAAAATAAGTTCTATTAATGTAATCAATCTTACGTTCATTTACTCGATAACATAAATTACATTTCCACATTTTACTATCAACAAAATGCACAAATGGATTGATATATGTTCTACATAGTCGACATCTTACAATGTTTGGACATTGAATGACAGGTAAGCTCTAAATTGAAGAAGTTGATGAAAATATATTTTAAATTTCTGTCTAAAAACTGGGATTATTAATTACTCACGTTAATATCTCTAAAGGGGTGAACTAGAATACCAAGAGGCAAACGAGATTTTTGTAGTAAGCTATTATTTTCGGGAATTTTATTCAAAGTGCAACGCATAATGCTAAAATAATGGAAAATTTAACATAATCTCATAAAATTTTCACTTTCATTTACTCACTCTGGATTACAATTAACGGATTCCTGAAATTGATTACTAAGTGTTATTTTGGGTATTTGAATTGTTGTAGAACTCAAGATATGACGATGTTGCATTAAATCGATTATATCTTGGCCCCACAAACGATTAAAGCCCTGTTGTGTTACACTTCCTAAATTTTGCTGATATTTAATTGGTCCTACATTTTGGTTGTCATTGAATGTTTGTTGTTGCTGGGGGATAAGATTTTGAGACATCGAAATTGTTGGTGGGGGTGGTTGAATGTAGTTTTGATTACAGTTTGGTGGAACAAAATGAGGTTGGCAATTTGAATTATTCACTGTAGGAAACTGTTGCGGATACTGTGTTCCATTCGGTTTCGCAGATGATACGGCAACCTGTGGGCTTTGGAATTGTGTATTTGATAAAGGCATTGGAATAAATTTGTTTTGAGTCGGTTTGCTTGTTATTGAGGGTGGTTGCATAGCCTGCGTAGATATTTGTTGCATGTTATTATTGATTACATTTGAATCAAATGTTCCCCCTCCTAACGGTTTTGATGGTTGTATTATTGCGTTTGTTTGCTGTGATGCGGAAAATGAAACAGGATTATGCGATAGAGATGATGAAATTGGTCTGTTTAAATTGTTTTTTTCGCTATTTGAGTAGTTAACTTGATCAGCTTTCGCTTGAACTGAAGTTTCATTATTTGAAGATCTATTGGGTTGCAAATCTGAATTTAAAGCATTCGTTTTAAAATTGTAAGGATAAAGAGAGTGATTGTTGACTGGAACCGAATATTGATTTAACTGGTTTATTGAAGATTGCTGAATAGTCGCAGTTTTAGTGGGCATCATAGTGTTTTGATTACTATTCAGCGACAAATTTTGCATTTGCATATTGACGATTTGATTTGTGTTTTGGATTACCGACGTAGTAAGCATTGCTTGCTGTAAATTTGTTGTATTGTTTATCGCTGGAGAGGCTGTTCTAGATGAATTATTACTCCCACCTCCATTTAGTAAATGAACGTTGGTTCTTATATGTGACGGTAAATTGGTTTGATTAGCTTGTGAGGTAGATGATGTTAAAGAGTTTTGTTGATTTTGAGTGTTACTATAAAGTTGGGTATTTCCATTAGATGAAGATGATATAGGCTTTAAATTAAACTTCATTTGCTGATTATTAGATTGATTTGTTGGAGTTGTTATTTGATGTGATTGTTTTGTTGGCAGCTTTTGAAAAGGCCCGTTTACATAGTTTGATGGCATTGCTGCCATATTTGTAGTGCATTGATTTGGATTTGGATAAGACGATGACATAATCAAGAATTATAATTTATGTAATGTTTTAGTTCGTAAGCAGCTGGCGCATCTAAATTTATCAACTAAAAGATTATTAAAATATGTATGTAAAAAATTAATAAAATTTATTTAGAATTAACATTTAAAATTAATCAAATGAAAATCTATAATTCTACATTTAATTGTATTTCAATTACGTTAAGAAAAATTATTTTTAACATAAATTCCGGATTTTTATGAAGATCTTTCAAAAATATTTTTTAAAATGAATTAAATTTATGAGATTGTATAACGTAAAATTTAATCCACGTCATTAAATAACGTTGATACATTAAAAGTGTTATAAAATTATTTTAATAAAAATGGGTGATCATCGATATACAAACAGATAGTTAGGTATATACCTACCTACCTACTTCGAATACAACAACTAAAGTAAATATTTACTTACAATGCCATTGCTTTCGTACACTCAGCAATGGTAAGTTTTTTACTTATTATATTAAAATGAACCGTTTGATTCTTTTTTTAATCAGTAAAATTTAGTTCTCTAATTAAAAACTTAGCTATTGCACTTACAGGACTGATACACTAACATTAAGATGTTGCCAAAGTAGGTACCTACCTACTTATATACATATACCGACCTAGTTAGATAAAAAGTTAATTTAAATTATTGGACCTACATACATAATCTACATATTTACGTCATATATTCACCAAACGCATCTTTTTATAGAAAATTCTTAATTTTTTTGTTATAGAGAAATCAATCAAATTATTTTTAATGCAATCGCGAAAATATTGTAAGATCAATATAAAAATTTACCCAAATAGTTATATTTTGTAAATTGCCATTTATTGCAAGAATATTTTATAACACTTTAAATCCTTTAAATACCTTTTTTCAAATTCTTCAATTTTTTTGTGAATTTTTATTTAACTTTTCTGATATATCAATATGTATTGACAAATGTGCTTTCTAAATTAAACACTTCATTAAATCTAGTTTTTTTAACGTAATTTTGTGATTTTCTCTTTGATAATGACCCAGATCAAGCAAGGCTAATTGGCCCGAAAATTTTTTTAATCTTTGAACCTACCAACCTACATGGAATATTTGGCTTAATTCGATGTAAATTAGAAAAAATTACAAAGTCAAAATGTTATTCGTATGCATAATTTTAAGCTCTCTCAATTTTAAAACCAAAAATATTTCTAATATGTACTTATTTTACTTAAAAAAGTTAATTTGAAAAAGCAACTTCATTAATGACATTTTGGCGCATGACAAAGGGCTGTCATTTTTGACGTTGAGCTTCCACATAATTCACTTACTGCACATACTTTTAAATTATAATTCTTTTTCACATTAAACTAATTTAATTTGTGTGAATAAAGTTTTCCCTTTGTTAAGAGTACAATTTCAATTAGATGATGTCCGTAAATGTAATTTTCTAGAATAATTGGAAGTTTTGAACTTATAGCCACTAATTTTAAGTCTTGCAGTACATCATCAAACTTGCTTACTTTCGTTCTGAATACAGATTTATTTTATTCAAAACGAATATAATATAATTCAGAACGAAAATGATCCGAATAATGATTCATTGAACACTTTTTCTCAAAATTTTAATTTTCTGTTTTTTTTTTGTCAACATGAAATTACCTTAACCTTCGAATTTGCTTTTAAATAAACTTAATTAACTAACCGTAATCACTTATAATATGATTATGAATTATTATTAATTGATTTGACAGTAACAAAAAAATCGTTTAAAGGCTTCAATATACATAATATGTACTTCAACCACGGCTGACAGAGATACTGATTTCTGAAATAATGATATATTTTTGTTATGTCAATATTTGATCACAAGTTTTCAGTGTTGATGTACATGAAAAAACTACTTTAACCCTTTGATTATTGCATTCAATGGCGAAGATTACACGCTCAGTGTTAAAATCAGTGATTAAGTGCTGAAAAAGTGACAGATGATTACACTATTAGTTTTAACTGAAGATTTTAAAGATGGCGGAAAATGAAAAATTTCATTTGTGAGCACAGATTGGAAGTGATTAACAATTTATACATAGGTAATAATAGTATGTACATATTAAAATTCCGTCTTGAATTAAAAAAAAATATAACACAAATTATAAATTAAAAATTGGTATATAAATAGTTTTTACTTTGTAAACTTTTTATAATAATGTAAGTACACAATAAAAATTTTACATAAGTTGAATTATTTTAGTAATGTATAATATAGTACAATCAGCAACTCTCTTATATGTCCGAAAACCTACAACTTCTTTTGTTGTTGAAAGGAAAAAAGAAAAACAGAGGCCATGGATTAAAGAATTATCAACAAGATTTAGAGTTAAAAACAAAAATAGATTTTGATTCTGAAAAAGTCAAACATATTACACAAGCATGTGTTGTTCTTTAAAATTTAATTTTGGAAAGTAACCGAAGGTATGTTTGAAAAATATAATTATTTTTCATATTAAAATGACTAAATTTCTTCTAATTTATAGTTATTCAGAAACTGCTCAGTTTTCTAGAAATTCTACAGATACAGAAAGATAAAGGAACTCTACAGTAAGAATGAGAAAGCAGAGGGATCAAGTTACCAACGTTATAAGAAAGTTTTGCTGATTTTTGCGACTGACAAAACAGTTACGTTATTTAATTTGTAATTTGAAAACAAGAAAATTATCATTCGCAAACAAATGGTATAGCGAAATATTGTTTATTTCACAATAATCAAGAGAAAATATAAGATCTTTTTCTTTGTTATATTATCTTTTCAATGTATTTATTTTCTTTTTTCACATCCTTCATTTCTGTGCAAAGTTCATGAAAACAAAAAATTTTTTTTTTTCAATGGTTGATAATTTTTCCGAAATATAATTTTTTTATTGGTGTGAAAAGAAAACTTCCTTTTATTCGGAATAAAATACTTTTTTTTTTTTTTTTTTTCGCTAATATATTTCGTGCGCTACATACGCACTTTATCAAAGCTGATTTTCTTTTCATGAAAACATTTTTCTTTTGTCAACTCCATTTAAATGACTAGGCGGTTAATGTTCACGATGCTTAAATATTTTCCATTTTCAAAAAATTTATGAACTCCATCAGGAATTGTATTATCAAATAAGATATTAACCCTAAGTAACTGTAACTTACCCCAATAATTGAAAATATTTACGTTTCGATCTCGTTTAATAACTATTTGGCTTAGATACCTTTTATTATCTCAATTTGGTTAATATATATTAAGTGAATTGATATTTTTTTAAAGAAAAATAACTTTGATACACATCAATTTTCAAATAGTCAATTGTTAACTACATTTTACGTAAATTTTGATAATAAGGAAAATATTTTTAGTATTGAATTTAAGAAATTAATAAATAAATTTGTAATTAAAAAAAAGGTTAATAATAATAATGAACTTGCAATAATGAAAAATGATAAAATTAATAAATATAGAAATGCGATATGGACAAATAATATTAATGATTGGCAAAATTATAAAACAGTGAGAAATAATTACAAGTTTAATTTAGAACTAAGAAAAAATGAGTTTTTAATGAATAAAATTGATAGTGCTAGTTGCCAAAGGGCTGTATGGTCATTTTTAAAAGAATACATTTTAAAAAAATCAAAAGTAAAAAATTATTGAACTTAAATTTAGAAATGTTATTTATACAAATTCATTGATAATAGCCAATAATTTTAATAAATATTTCAGGGAAAGTATGATTCAAATTAATAGTAGTATTCAAAATGTACCGTTTGTCAACAGAGGTGCACCATTTCAAATACCATTTAAATTTAGACGAATAAATAAAAACGAACTAAAACAAATTCTAAAATCTATGAAAAATATATAATTTTATAATTAGAAAAAAATATAAATTTTATAAGTGTCCAAGTTATTTTGGATTGTTTTCATTACATTGGTGATACTGTCACCGATTTGCTAAACGAATCAATGAGGATAGGGTGTTATCCAGATTTTTGGAAGGAGTCAGTTATTTTACCAGTTGAGAAAATAAAAAATTCAATTGAATGTTCTAATTTTCGTCCATGGAACATGATAATAACAGAGGCTAAAATATTGAAAAAGGTAATTTATTATCAGTTGTTTGAATTTTTAGATAAAAATAATTGGATTTTTGAGTACCAATCTGGGTTTCGGAAGCAGCATAGTTGCGAAACGCTTTTGAATTTGGTCATTGCTAATTGGAGAGTGGAAGTAAATTATTATTGTATAAATTATTATTGTAAGTGGAAGTAATTATTAAAGAAAGTTATTCTAGCAGTATTTATTGACTTAAAGAGGGTCTTCGAAACTATTGACCAAGACATGCCGCAAATTCTTTAACGTCAAAATTTTGTTTTCAGTCTGCAAACTGTCTGACGTATAAAACTTTTACGGACAGAAATGTAGTAAACTTTTTACCCGTAATTGACTTAGAATTTTGATTTAGATTGATTTGAATTTTTTTTAGATTATAATTTTATACTTACATATTAAAAATTAACAAAAAAAATATTTATTGAAAATATTAAAAATATTGAGTGACTATCATTACGTTAAAAATAATATAAAAAATATTTTTTTTGTTAATTTTTAATATGTAAGTATAAAATTATTTTAAATCTAAAAATAATTTTTTTTTGTTTTGACGTTACGGATGATCAAAATTCAAAGTAATACTCTTAATAAAATTAGAAAATTATGGTGTTCGCGGAAATGAGTTAAATTGGTTCTACTCTTATTTAAAAAATAGAAGACAACGCACAAAAATCAATGATTTCATATCTGAAACTGTTGTAGTTGATTTAGGGGTGCCACAAGGAACAATCTTAACAGGGTTTCTGTTATTTTTGATGAAGAAATGGAGAAAGCACTCGAATTCTCAAAATTATTATTATTTGCGGATGACGCTCTATTGTATGTAAGCGGCGATTCAATAGAGGAATGCTTGACGAAGGTAAACAGTGATTTGAATAACCTTAGTCAATGGTTTAAGCAAAATAAACTCATGTTGAATGTACAAAAATCTAAAGTAATGATCATCAATGGCAATTTAATAAATAGTGTTTTGGTCGATAATATTCCTCTGGAAGAAGTAGTTAAAATTAAATATCTTGGATTAATAATTGATAATAAATTAAACTTTAAATGCCACTTCGGTTATACTTATATGTAAGATAATAGCGAAAAAGATTTACTTTCTTTCCAAGATACGTAATCATATATAGGGTTTCTGGACTGTTTTTAACAGTAACAGTAAAACCGCTGTTTTTTTTGGAAAAAATCAAAAACAGCAAAAAAACAGAAACAGCTGTTTTTGAAATGCTGTTTTTAATGTTTTTCATTTTTAAATTTTAATTCAAATTTGAAAAATTCTAGCAAGCATGTATTCTTCAGTAAATCTTTATTATCATAATTCACAAACTATTTACAACAATTTGTATAAATATCAAGTCATCTTAGAAAATTTGAATTTTTACTGGAAAAAATTTCCTAAGAAATTGAAAAAAAATGTTCGTCTTCATAGTGGTCACTGGCTTTATTTAAAATTAGTGTTTCAGTTCAACGTCAACCACCACATAATTTATAAATAAATATTTCAACTTAATTGTTTGTAAATAAAATTTTGCACGAAAAGTAGTAAGTATATGAAAAATTATTTACAAAATTCCCATTTTGAAGTTATACAAAATTCCCATTTTTAAACCTCTTTATTATATTAGTAATGTCAGTCTGGGATCATGCAACAAAACGAAAAAAATTCAATGACCAAAGAATTAGAAGATTACGTCTATTACGTAATTAATTACGTCTATCAGACAAATCAATATTAGCATTGATATTTTTAAAATATTATTATAAAAAGTAAATTTTAAAGAATTTTTGTATCATAAATGTAAAAAAAAGTATGAATTAAAATAATAAATTGAAGTAGAAATTATTAAAATTTATGTCTATATTAAAATTGTTATCTCTTTTCAGCTTTTCACTCTCATATATTGGAAAATTTATATGAAATTTCACTTTATATGAAAAATCAGTAAAACAGCTGTTAATAGCTGTTTTTTCAAAATTATAAAACAGCAACAGCTGTTTTTTCAAAACCACTGTCCTCTCTATTATGTATATCGGTATCGGCCGATAAACGATAATTTATCGGCAAAATTTTGTGTTTGTATTACCAACATTGTTTATCGGTAAATTTTATCGGAGTCGGGAAAGCTTTTTTTCCCTGTATAGGAAACGTATTAGCTGGTATTATGAAAACGATAAATTGTCGGGTTTTCACCGATTTAAAAGCGGGTACAAATTTTTAGACGACAGATTTTTTTTTTGTAAAATCTTTATTTTATCAAGGAAACTGGTGTAATTAATTGCTTTTTTAAAATGTAAGCATTTTTTCTAAATTATTTTCTTTCAAAATGTTATTCATATATTTTATTTAGGAGTAAAATCGTAAGCAACAAAAAACAAATTGCGCGGTTAGTAGAAAAAATGGAAGAGGACTTAAACCTGGCAAGGAATGATAATCTGAAATTCTGGATAAACCTAAAAAATGTGTACATATTATATAAATAATAAAATAAAATAGGTACATAAACATACATTTTGTTGTCTAAATCCAATGGATTAGTTGAATCTCTTATATGTCGTCTTTGAATAGCTTGCGTTTCTTCACTTTCAAAATATAATGCACGTGACATTTTCCCGATATATGTATACTTTTATTTTACAAATTTAACAGAAAATAATTTTCTTACTACAACTTTTTAGCACATCAAAACCAAATTCAAAATAGTTTTAAAAATTTTTTGAAAATAACTTTTGAAAGAAAACAAATGTCATTAGAAAAAAAAACATTTTCTCCAATTTACAAAAACAAAAATTTGTATGAAAAAGCTTCTTTTAATCGGTTGAAATATTTTTATCGGTATCGGTTCATAATACAGAAGAAACCCAAAACCGATGAGAACTGCCGATAATATATCGGCCGATACCGATGTTCATAATAGAGGGGTGTTTTTCAGAAACCCTAATCATATATATTCAAATACTTTAATAAAAGTTTATAATTCTTATATAAAGCCACATTTTGAATATTGTTCAACGGTGTTGGCGTTTTATTCAGCTGGGCAGATTGAAAGACTGCAAAAATTACAAAACAAAGGAATGCGCATAATTCTTAGGTGCAATAGATATACGCCAATTATCTCTATGTTGGATGCTTTACAATGGCTTAGGGTAAATAAAAGATTAGAGTTGGATGTTTATTTATTTGTTTTTAAAATGAAGGCAAAAATGTTACCTGGGTATTTGTGCAATAGGCTTATTTACGTTGAAGATGCACATCATCATTTCTTAAGAAATATTTTCAACTTTAGGCTTGACTTTTTCCGCACTGAAGGTGCCAAAAAATCTGTACTGTATAATGGATTAAAAATTTTCATTGAACTACCTCGGGAGATCAAATGTATAGATGATTTTAAATTATTTAAAAAGAAAATAATTGAATATGTAAAAATTAATTTTGATTAGTAGTATCTTTTTGATTTTTACTTTATTAAATTCATGTAAAGAAGCAATATATGTTTCCAAAATTATTATAGATACCATTCTACAATCCTATTATTGTTATTAAATAGTATCAAACTAAATAAAGAAATAAATAAAAAAAATTAAGTAAGTGGACTTAAAAAAATAGTAATACATAATATTTTGTGTTTTTGCAAAAGAAATACTATTATGAGCATATGACCTTTGGAAAAAAGATAATAGCGGTATTTTTAGATTTTGGTTAGATTCATACTTTTAAATAAAATGGAACAATATGGAATTAGAAATCAAGAATTCTAAAGCTAAATTCATTGGTTCGTCAGTTAAACGACGAGCTGATGTATTTCACATGAAAATTTGGATTTTTGACATTCTTTATTTTTAGTACAGTTTTTTTTCCCTCTCTCAAAAAGTTGATCAACTTCAATTTTAGTGCGGAAGTTTTTTTAAAACTTCAAATTTATCTATACTATAGTTCAGTATAATTACATATAATTCTTGTCAAAAAAGTAATAAATCCATTATAACAAAAAAAACGATCAGATTTTTCAGACAAACCAATGAACAATCAAGAGAAAAAATAGTTCGACTTTAAATAGCTCAGCTCAAAAACGACGAACCAATGAATCCAGCTTAACGGTTTACTAATTTTTTGACAAATAAAAAACAGTGAACAAAAATAGATTCAGCGTTATCGTATTGTGGTAGAATAGTGAGTTTAGTCGTAGCAAAGGCTCTATTGGTAAAACAAGGGGGGTTATTCTTCCTTCTGTACATAAACGACTAAACAGAATTTTGACCAATTGTAGTATAGTATTATTGACTGATTATCATGTAAACTAAAAGAATATTACGTGCAACAATGTGAAGCGAAAAATAACGAAGAATAAACAATTTATAATATAAATGATTCAATACGAATAAATTAAAAATTAACGTAAAAAATTAAATATATTATGTAGACAATATCAAGGATTAAACAAGCAATAAAATTACAATTAATAATGAAAAAAATAAAAGCATTGATGAAACTAAACAAAAATTTAAAAAAAATCGTTGTTTAAAAAAATGTATTCCAAATCATGTTTAAAATTTCTATTTGATTTTTTGATATGTTGTACACAAAATTCCAAATTTAATTTTTATAAAAAAATCTAATATTTTGGCAATTTATATAATGAAAAATTCGAAATAAAATTTGGGAAAACATTTAATAAAAAAATATCAGAAGTGTCATCTTTTTAAAAATGGTTTAAAATTTTTAGTGCCTAATTCACAAAAAAGCATTATCCAGTTTTGTATTGTTGCCGTGGTATATTGTGTGTAAAAAATGTGACATTGACATATTATGAAGGAAAGTCTGACAACTTATTGCATAAATCAAAACAAATAAAATTTAAACATGTAAAATTGCGAATTTCTAAAGCATAATATTTTTATTTAAGTAATGTTCATTTGATTTTTCTTCTGATAAAAAAAATTAATAATTTTAAAAATGGATGAAATTAAATCGAAATTCTTAAATTTTGTAAAAAAACAAAACCAAGTAAGGATACCAACAATGGGATTCTCAACTTTACCATACGAACACAACACTAGCATTGACCAAGCTGATTCAGTCTCTATAAGCACAAGCTGCAGCCATGAAATTAATGACACAAAAGACCATATCAATGATGAAGACTGTTTGAAAAATATGGAAAAAATATTTTATGAAGATGAGGCTGATTTGAAAATGTATATTATAAAAAAGGTAGAATCAGGTCAATTGCCTTTAGATAAAATTCAAGATTATTCAGCTGATTTACGTAAAAAGCAAAAGTTACTTTCTCGAAAACTCTTGGTTAATATTTCGGATCAAAAAGCAAGCTGTAATAATGAGTTTCAAAATATTCTAGGAATAAAACAGGATTTATCAAAAACTTTAACTGTAATACAACAAAATCGTTTACATTTACAATTCGCGAAAAAAAATCTTACAACAATCAGTTTAGAAATTTTGGCTGCTTATCGAAAAAGGGAAAAAATGAAGATTCTTATTAAAATATTTAATGCTATTAATAATATCAAAACAATGGATATAAAAGTTCAAAAACTATTAAATGAAGGTCAATATCCGAACGCAATTTACTTATTACTTAAATGCAAAACTTGTATCTCGAAATTGCCAAATTATAATTGCGTTACTTCCTTGGACAAAAAGTTACAAGAAACTTTACTAATGTCTGAGTTAGAAATGGAAAAAATTTTATATCAACTAACTGAAAATATTGACATAAGTAAATACAAGAAATTGCATGAAGCATATTCTTTGTTAAAAAAATCAATTATCATTATGGATCAATTACATTTGAATTTTATATCAGCGATTCATGTGAGTTACTTACAAGTTGTGAAAAAATTTGTTAGCGCGTCTGTTTTAGATTCACAGCAAAATGAAATATACGAAGATTTCTGCGAAAAAGTTCCCCATGAAAAATATTTAATTTGCTTAGTTGATTTGTGCAAATGTACTTGGAATATTTTAAAATCTTATTATCAAATAATTTCGTGGCATCAAAATTTAGATCTTGTTAACGACAAATTACTAGATGAAGAACAGAACAAATCAATTTTGGACAAATTAAACAATGGAAAACTAAGAATATGGAATGATGTTCAGGCAAAGATATGTAGATATCTGTCCTCTACTCAGGTGAGAAATTTAGCCTGACATGGCATATTTTTGTTAAATTATTTAACTAAGTTGATAGATAAAATACTTTTACTTTTTATGATTTGTGCGTATTATGTTGAACAATTTGTTGTCTCATAGATTATTTTTTTTAAATAATATATCACCTATTTTTGCTATATTTAAAATTTTAAATCATAAAATTATTGTATTTTAAATAGGATCAAATGTTTTTATTTATTTAAATTGGGTTTTTTCATTTTAAGTTAAAGAATTTGAAATATGAGCAATTCATTCAAGCATTGTCTATTGTGAGAAAGTTACAAAAAGTTGGTTTCGAATTCTGCGAAGACGAAAAATGTTCCGATAAACTTATCAATACTATTCACTTACAAAGTTTAGAATTTTTCGAAAAATATCATGCTAAAGTGGTAAATGAAATAATTTTATTTTTTGAGAATGAATCTTGGCTGCCTGTGGAATTTTGCAGCGTTTTAGAGTTACAAGAATTTAGATTTGTTAAACTTAATCTCATGAAATTAAAATCAAAGCAGGACGATGAGGTGCATTCAGAAAACGAATCTCAAACCGAATCTCAAAATCAGATTAACATAGAAAATTCATATGATGAATTAGTATCAAACAATTCTCAAGATATTGTCTCGTCTATTACTGAGGACATCGGGTATTTTGTGAGGTACTATGAAAAGAGCTCGCCTTTTGATGTCGGCTTGGATATTTCCATGACGGATGAAAATTTTTTTTCAAAAATAATTGACCAGTATCCTTTGGGTAAGACCAATTTTGTAAACTGTCGTCTACTTATTACTTTTTTTATTGTTGTTAGATATTTGCAAGAAAAATATCGGAATCGAGAGTTCTTCTACGGAATCATCAAACGAACAGTTAGCAAAATGTGATGAAATGTGCGCAAATAACACATCCATAAATATTTTGCGTTATATGGGACGTTATTTACAAATGTGCAAGTTACTACATCCTATTTCAACAAAAATTATAACATCCATTTTAGAATTATTTGATTTTTATGCATTCTTTATACATGAGATTTTTTGCAAAACTTCAAGTAATACTGTCAATGTTTCAAATGCTGACTTGGAAATAAAATTGAAACATATTGAGGAAAATATAGTGTTGAAAGTACAAACCTGGCCAAATCAAAACTTTACACCTATTATAAAAGAAGAATTGGAAAATACAGAAACATTATACGGTTTATCTTGTCGTATTGTTGCTATTCAGAGTGGGTTGAGTATGCTGAAACAATTTCAGTTATTGCATCAGTTTTTGAATAAATTATTACCTAATTTGGATGGGACGTTGACCGAAGTCACTGAGAAGCACATGACATTTTTTGAAGAAATTGCAAAATTAATGTATTTAAAATCGATTTCAAGAATATTGGATAGTGAAGAAATCTTAAATGGAATGGCTAAAATAAAATGGGATGTTAATCATGTCAGTACACAGCACAGCTTCTATATTGATGTAATCAATAGAAATTGTCAAACATTTGCTATGAAACTAGAAGAAATTTCAAAAATAGTTGAACAAATACCATATGAAATTGTTTGGGACTGCTTAGTGCAATCATCAACATGCTTACTAGTTGAAGGCTTTTCTAATGTAAAAAAATGTACAGCAGGCGGAAGAGCGTTGATGCAACTAGATTTTACTTATTTTATCTCCATGGTAGAACTTATATCCAAGCAAAAATTTTCTAATCACCGTTCGTATGTTGATACGTATATTAAAGCATATTATTTACCATTGGATGAATTTATTGACTGGTTGAAAATTCAAAAAGATGCTAAAATATACAGCAATAAACAACTTTTGTCTTTAATAAACTGTACATATTATGGAGATAAAAAAACTAAAACACGTTTAACTGAAATTTTAGATGAATCAAATATCGAAGGTATTAAATAAAAATCTAAAATTGTATTACAATGTAAATTTTATTTCAAAAATTGATAATATTTTTTAATATAATATTCATATATCTTAACATACATATACATATTTTTTTTTGTTGAAATTATGTAATTAAATGTGCTTCAAAAGTGATCAAATTCTAACTATAGTCTTAAACGAAGTATAATTGTGTAAAAGTAGTATTGCGGTCTATTTTAGCAGATGCATGAAAAATTTTGAAATTTTTCTTAAAAAATAATTTTTGAAAAACAAAACCCGAGTTAATAACAACAATATTAGAAGCGAAAAAATAAATAATGTAGGGACTAGTAATTTTTGTGATAAAATATTTTGAATACATCATCTTTCGGAGAGAAGGATGATGTATTCAAAAATTGTATTTGAAGAAGTTTGAAGCTGAAGAATTACACTAGATAAAATTGAAACCAATTTTCAAATTTCTTTTTATTTTACAATAAACTCAAAAACGAAAGAAATGCTAGAATAAAAGATAAAGTAGTAAATCTATTACGAAATTATTAGTTATAATTCTGGTTTAATAAAATTTATTATTGAAAACTCGGTTATTTTCTCACTTATTAACTTAATTGTTATTTATAAAAATTGCTACTTAATACTTAACTTTAGTTAAATATACAAAATGACATAATTAAAAAATTAAAAAATCTATATAATGTACAGAAATATAGACAAAAAACTGAGCTACTAAAAACTCTTAGTGCAAGGAAAAGTGTATATATGCATTTATGTATATACGCATTACAACTTTAACAATAATGTATAATACACACGTTAAATATATATTTTGGTAAATATGAATCTTTATATGAATTTTTAACTAGTACGAATTTGCTTCTTATTGATAGCGTTGTCCTTAATTTCGTTGTGTGTGTTTTTATCTTTTAATGTGTAATTTAATTTGTTTTCAGTTTTAAAGAAAATAGCTACATGCATAACATACATACATATATGTGTATCTATTCATAAAAATGAGAAATTAATATATTTTTATTTAAAATTAATATTAATTGTTTCATATTTCAATAGGTATATCGAAAAAATTGTAAATTAAGACAATTTTGTTCTTATTATTTTTAATTATTATTTCTTCGAAATAATATGCATGTGTTCGTATGAAAAAATATTTCATTTCTTCTTAACCGAATTAAAATCAAATAATTTATTTTTAGAAATGCTTGTAAAACAAAAAAGACAAAATTAAAATTAATTCGAATATAAAAAAGACAATTTCAGCTGTAAATTTTAAGCTTCGTTCGTTGATTTTCTTTTTCTGAATTAGAAAATTATTTTTTTTTGTATTTATTTGTAACGAACCTTTTTATTCGTCCAAATTGTTATTTAAATTATATTATTTCAAAAAATATATGTATTTTTTTATTAATAAACTTAAACCAGCATTTTTATTTTGTAAACTTTTTAAATCCATTTAAGATTTTAATTCTTATAATTATTAAGTAACTCTTATCTTACATTCAATCTAATTGAAGCTAGAAAACAAAATGATAAAGAGAAAAATGGCGTTTAGAAAAACTTGTGCACAATATACATATATATAACATAAATAAATAGTGTCTTATTCAAATTATTAATTCGAAACGACCATAGGATTATCACTAAACGATTTTTTTTCAATTTAAAAACTTTAAAAAAAGCTTTTATACTTTTTAATACTCTTAATCCATTAAAAAAACTCCTCTGAAATTTAAATTTTTTTATCGAAATAAAATAGCATTCATTTTGCTTCCATTTACTTTATTTAAAAACATGTTAGATATTTTATTAAAATATCTGGTCAATTTAAACCAAAAACTTTTTATTTCAATCTACAATATTTAATTTGCATACTTTTTTTTTACTTAAGGTCCTTCTCTTAAAATTTATATGAATTTTTTATACATACATAAGTAGTTTATGAGTTTAATATGTGGGAAGATATTTTGTATTAATTTAGTGGCATTTTCCTTAAATTTTCGTAACATTTCCTTAAATGTTATCTAATTACGGTAATTTTGTCATTGCATGATTTGCTCCTCCAATATTTATCATCCTTTTGTTACGTTTATTAGAGTTATTGCTGCCACCCGCTCCAGCTGACCTCTTATCTATACTTAATTCGAGTACTCCTTCTGAAAGATTTCCCTTTACAGTTGCATTATTTCCACTCCCTTGAATTGACCGATTAATTACTGTGTTCGCTGATTGAATATTAGGATTTTGATTTTGATTCTGCCCGCCACGCGATTGCATTTTGTTAGGTTTTGGACGATTTTGCACAGCCACCGAATTCGTCAATGGTTTTAAAACATTACCGACAGCTTTTGTTCGACCTTCCCGGAACACCATTCGTTGTCCCGGTCTTATGTATTCAGGATGTTTTATAAAACGAAATTTAACTACAGCTTTATCACCAGTTCGTAGACAATCTTGTGACATATCTAAAATGGAGGCAGTTTGTCTAATACTTCCACAATGCACCATTGCTTGATAACGCTCAGATATGGTTGTCGGATGATGTAAAACTAATATTTCTCCTTCAAATTCCCAACAGGCTTGTGGTTTTAATTCAGGGCTAACCATAACCATTCCTTTTCGAATTTGAGATCTTTTTATTTTTTTCAAAGCAAAACTAGCAGTTTGCCCTCCACGAACTTCCTTAACATTCATACGTTTTCGATGAATACTTTTAATAGCAATCGGCGTAAACTGCCCAACAGGATCTGGACCAAGCATTAAAATGTCATTAAGTTTAATTAAACCCTGTAAGCATGTGCCCGAAACAACAGTTCCCACACCTGGAACAAGATAGGTGTCATCAATTTGAAATTCAGCTGGTTGATCATCTTGGCCCGGCATTCGAGTTGTCAGTAAGTTCAAAAACATTTTCAATAAATCTAAATTTTCGCCAGTCACGTTAGATACTTGGAATATTGGACAAAGACGCTCAGATACAAAGTTGGTTGCACCCATAACGACTTGATCTGCATTTTTTACCATAACTGGCACCTTTCGGCATCCTGGTGATTTAAGTATTTTGAATAATAATTTCAAGTTATCTTCCAATATGTTTGGAGGGCACATATCAATCTTCGTCACAACCACAAAAACAGGTACCGATAAAGCTAATGCCAAACCCAAATGTTCTTTTGTCATTCCAACGATTCCAGCATTGGCGCCAATCTATAAAGAACAAATTTTTTATTATTAGATAATTTATTCTTTAAAATTAAATAAATTTTCATCATTTTGCAAGAGAGCACAATATACATGTATTATTTAACTTCATTTTTCAAATACCATTAACATTCCAAAATCAGGAACATGACCGGTCATTCCGAAAACTGTAGTTTTCAGATACCTTTCATGACCAGCCAAATCTATAAAAGTGATTACTTTCGCTGATTTTTCGCAAATTTTAACCCAATCTAATGTTCCGTGGTCTGGTTTATTTACAACATTCCCAATGCTATCGAACCCTAAAATTTTAAAAATAATAATTTTGTTTTAATTGAAAGCAGTTGTTATTTTCACACCTAAAATATCGTTGCCAACCGAACTAGTACGACCACTTTCCATTTCATGTTTGTGTCTAAATAGCCTTTGTCTAGCATGTCCCCGTCCATTATCAAGTTCTCCGTGTGTTAAAACACCTAATAGCGTTGATTTTCCAGCATCGACATTGCCAACAACAGCCACTCTAAAAAAATATGCGTATATAAGAATATATACTGTTTAACTTCATAAAAAACTCACCTAATTTCCATAAAATCAGAAGTGTCAACACGTTTTCGAATTAGAAATTGCCCGATAATTCCTTTTTCCACTTTACGTTCTCGAAGAAGAACAGCATCAGCATCAATCGTCGTTGCAAGTGATTGTAGAGTTGCAACAGAAGCTGCGTACTCTTCAGAGTCTAAACCACCATCATTACCATCTTCACCAGCCCCTATTTCATAAATTGTTTCACCCCGACTATCAATAACCCGCTCTTTAAGTTTTCGTTTTAATAATTCAAATTGCTCTTCATTTGGACTAACGAGTATGGTTTTTCCTCTAATGCTGCCGTAATCCATTACAGAATTCTGATTATTTAATGATTTTTCTTCAATAAACGGTGAGGTTTTTTGATTTTTAATCGGTGATCGCTCCATTATGACTTTTGCGTTTATATATTATGTAGAACTTTTTCTTTTGAATTTTGTACCAAACATTTTTACAACACCACGAACATATACATAAGTTGTAATAGTTTATATTAAAATTTCATAGCCTAAAATGAAATTTAAAAAGTTCTTTAAATTATTTTTAAATTGCAATTCTTTTTTTATTGTTTATGATTTATTATAATATTTATAATCCTATCTTTTAAAATGTTTTGCAATATAGCAGCAATAGATACATTTAAAATTGTCGTATGAAAAACATAAATATTGAAATTATTTTTAGCGCGTTGGCATTTATTATTATTTCACATCTTTAACAAAATTTCACTTTCACCAAAAATAGCATTAATATGGTCCAAACAATATGTACTTTTATTATTTATATGTATGCATGTACTCTTATTATACTCTATTATTTATAGTTGCTTTGTATTATGGTCGACCTGTATTATTTAATATGCTTTTCATTGCAATCCTTTATATATAGGTACTCACCTCTGGATGGTTAATTTAATGTATATGCCTAATATCAATTCTTTCACGAATTTCGTAATAAATAATGGTTATTTCAAAGATTGGTTTTAAATGCTATGCTTAGAAGCTCATTTATTATGAAATAAGTATTATTCACAAAAAAAACTTACAAAATTCTGTTTTATACTTTACTTTTATCTTTAAAAAACAAACTGCAACGAGCTTTTTAGGTGACGTTTTTACATTTGGCATTTTTAGAAAGAGAAAAAAGTTCTAACCGGACTAAAGAGCTCAAACAGCTGACTTTCGAAAAAGCTTTCCTGTATTTCTGTTAGAAACAAACATGGTAACAATTAACAAATAGTGTTGGGACTGAACTTTAAAACGAACGAAGTAGCAATATTTTGCACTATTCATGAGTGGTTTCCACAAGCTTCCTAATTTTTGATAAGATAACCTAGTTAAATTTTCATCTGTCTCATGAAGTACAAAAAAGCAATTACAAAAATATTTGTCAACAAAATTTAAATTAAAAAAGTACAAAATGTTTGTTTTTATTTTAATTTTCATTAAAAAGCAAAAGTTTTATTTCGTTAAAATTTTTGTTCACATTATGAAACCCTTTTAACGACTCTGTTATTAGTAATGGAGAATATTAAAATAAATTCCTCTTAAATTTTAATCTTAATTAATTCCCCTTAAATAGTTAAGACAAAAATTTTTCATTTATTTTTGAAGTTAATAAAATCAGATTTTATTATGCCCGTACCAAAATTTATGTTTTATTTAATATAATTTTGTATATTTAATTATTCTTTCATTTTGTCGATCTGAACAAGTTTCCCTTTGTTTTGATCTTCTGTTGTCGTTTCTAAATTCTTTAACTCCAAATAATTCCGGCGATAGCTACCCTCTGGATCGAATATCTTTTCTAAATGTATCCAATCTTGCAATCGGTTGTCGATTAAAAAATGAGTTATTTTGTCGGCTCCGTACTTTTGTTTTTCTGAGCATTTTGAGCAATTGGTTGACACTGCGTCCGGCAAAGTTTCTAAAATATAGCATTATTATTATAGTGAAGTTAGTAACATTTTGATATGAGGCGCTCAGCGCATTAGTGTTCTATCCAAAATTTTTTTCAAGAAGGAGTTATTATTCAATATTATTCAATAGAAATATAATGGCCTAAAGAATTGTTTAATTTTTTCAAAATACTTAGTTTACTTCCCTTTTCACTCTATTTTGACATAAGTTTGTTTTAACCTTTTCTTAAAATTAAATATTTAACATTCAATCTTAATTTACTCGAAATGTCATTTTTGCAAATAGGCCACTAATGCACTGAGCGCCTCATATACGGTTGAATTTTTAGAGCTTAAATAAGATAACATACCTTTTAACATTTTTCCGTCAGCTGTGCATGGTCCTTCATTTTCTAAACACTTGATGTAATTTTTAAGGAGCCTTTCATTATTTAAGATTTCATCTATGTCAATATTATCATATTTTGTATCGTAGATTTCTTTCGATATAACTGGAATCGATATCGAATTTCCAATGAAAAAAATTATGAGTAAGAAAATAAAAAAACTCATTTGGAACTTCAAGTTTTTCACAAATATCAAAGAAAACTAACGAAATAAGGTTCTTTACGCGGAATTTTATAACAATTCATTTATGGCTGGATTTCTTAAATACCGTACAGAAAAATCATAAATTACTTAAAAAAACAATTTATTTATTATAAACACGCAATCGAACTCAATATTTTTATGAAGATTTTCATCAAAAATTACTTATAATAGACATGTATTATTTAACCTAATAAATTATTAACTGCTTAGTAAATGGTGATGTTATTTAAAAGCTGTTTACTATGTGGCAAAGTTTAATTTTAATTTTTTATTTCATAGTTTAATTTAATTTATTTATTTCTTTTATTTTTTTTTATTTATGTTAGTAGATAATTCAACTATTAATACTAACAATTTAACAATTTAAATTCTTTTAATATAATGTGACGATAAAATTTTTTTTTATAAAATTCCAAAATTTGTTTTTACATGTAAAATAATTTTTCTTTTAAATATATTCATATTTCTTTCAAATCATTCGGAATGTTGTTAAACAAACTCAATCCCTTATACAATAACACGTTTTTCGTTTTTTCATTCCTAAAAAAAAATTATGATCTTATTCTAAAAATTCTTAAATTACGGTAATGAATATCCCCCGAGTATATGAGTCTGCTGCATAAATATGTTGGATACATATTATTCTTTAATCTAAATACAACAACAAAAATATTGACCAAGATACGTTGATAAATTGATGACCACTGTAGACATACTAACATAAATTTGATGAGCACAAATCTGTGCACACGAAGATTTAATCTTATTACCTTATTTTGTTATTTCATGTACATTTTTTCAACATTCTTACGATAAAATAAATATTATATAGAGGAATCGTAGATTTTAATTGTACACTCCATAGAAATTCTTGGCCGAACTTTGGGAAAGAAGTATAGCTACTTTTTCAAAATTTTTTTACATACATACATACATACAGACTGTGTCCTTTAAAATTCAATTTGTCATCAATAATCACTCCTAGATATTTCCTTTCCTTTACTCTTTCTATTTTATCAATTTTAATTTTAACATCTAAATCTATAACATTCACGCTATTAAGAACCATGTTTTTGGTCTTTTTGTGGAAATATTTATTTAAGTTTATAAGGTCTTTGCTTATTTTGTACATACATACATTTTTTTTATTATTCATTTATTTGCGACAGAAGTAATATTACATATATTTTACAAATTAATGTGATTAAGAAATAAAGAAAAATTAACCTATTGCACAAGACAAGTGTCGGTCTTAAGAATTTAAAAAGTCAAAAAGTTAGGGTTCATAAATTACAAAAATCCTAAAAGAACAAATCTATTAATCAGAAAAAGAAATTCAAAATAAAAAATTTATATAAACAAAAATTTAGAAAAAATATAAATTTGAAAAAACTAATAAAGAAAAATAAATCTTAAAATAAAAAAAAATTTACAATAGAAAAAATAAATAAATTTAATAATTACAAAAAAGTGTAAAACCTCTGCCCTAAACCAAAACACGCTCTTATTTAAACTCTGAGAGCATAATGTTAATAGTTTATGAAATTTGAAACTTCAAGTAGCGTACCGGTACTCGATTAAAAACTCTTGGTGCCGTAAGATTAAAACACTGACTACAATGTAAAAGATCGCATCACAAGAAAATCCCCCGATCTTAAAAAGAAAATTTTCAACGTTTTGAACAAATATAAATTTCTAATAGGCAAAATTTTCAAAAATTTAAACAAATTAAAAGATTGTTTACATACACATTTCTTTTTCAAATGATTCTGATCTATTAAAGTATGCACCACCCCTAAAACGCTGCAAGAAGAACGAATTAATATAAATAAGAAACAAAGTAGGACCCAGAACTAAGCCCTGAGGCACGCTACATCCAATCGTTAGTTCGCCACTCAAAACATACCAATTCTAACTTTTTGTTTTCGACCTGAAAGATAAGAAGTGAACCATTCAAACATAAATTCTCTTAAACTCGTTTCTATGATAATCTAGATAAGAGCAAAATGTGATCGACAAGGTATATATATATATATATATATATATATATAAATATATATTATATATATTTATAAACATATAGTACTCGTATATATTTATTTATTTATTTATTTATGTTTATCTCAAACATTTTACATAACTTAAAATTAAAGAATGCATATACAGATACATATTTTTTAGACAGAACAAATTTTTGACTTAAAAATTAAATTAAAAAAATTATACAAAATAAAACTTATTAGTATTAATACTTCACTAAATATGAATATAAACAATGAAAAACTAAAACAAGAATTTGTTAAACTAAAGAAAAGGGTTATACTTAACAATAAGTAAACGTCAGCGTGTCTCTTTTCAGTGAAAAGTCAAGTCTATGTTTGTTGCATAAACGCAGCATTCTGCTGACAGTTACACGTTTTCCATAATTGGTCCTATGAAAAGGAACCATCAAAAGATCAGGGGAACGAGACCTAAAGTTAGAGTTAATCACAATTTTATTTAAAATGTCTTTCATAAGCTGAAAAATGGATGACAAATCCGCAACGTCACGTCTTTTGCCCAGTGTGGGTAGGTCAATTAATTTGAGCCTAAATTAATATATATTATATATATAAACATATGTATATGTATATATGTATTTTTGTACTTCTATTGCAATAGTTGTACAATTTTTACATACTATGTAAATTGTTGAAGCGGAAATATTCCAAACAAATTAAATACATATGTTTATGTAGCATAGCAAAAATTAGTTTCCTTTCTTGAAAATTTTTGGCTAGAAGTCATTAGTATAAATTGAAATAAGGTAAAAATTCAATCATTACAATTCTATTTCGCTAGCCTATGAAAAAATTTCTCGAATTCGAACTTGTCATACTTGTCATTAAAATCTGCAAGAATAACTGTATTTGGATATGTCGGCAAGTAAATAACTTGTTATAAGTTCAATTATGCAGTAATTTCATTCTGAATTCAGAAAATCATGTCTCAACTGAATCTGATTTAAAAAGCGAACTGGAACAATATGGAATTTATATATGTACAAACATTGGCATTTTTTTTACATAGTACATACATACATACGTACACGTTTTTACGTGATTTATGTACAAACAAAATTAAAGGTATTAATTGCCATATAAAATTTCCAAGATTGAAAGGCTATAAACAGAACAGCACAATATATTTATTTCATGCTTATTAGTTATTTATTACATAACAAAAAAATAAAAATATAACTGTTAAAAACGGCGAGTATCAAGATGAGAATTATTTGCGTCACAAAAGACATGATTTTATTTAGAAACAGTAATATTTTAAACCGCATTTTGACAAAGTCACTTTTTTATATAATTTTCGAAAACTTGAATTCATTTTACAAGTAAGCTTACCATTGTACACAAATCTGATTTTTATTTCAAATCTCATGTATATTTTTGTGTTCTACCTGATCTAATTTAGCGAGAAAACATGTTTTCTATTATTGATTTTTTTATAGGCATTTCGTTGTAGATTTTGAGGCTCAAAACTCATATATGTATATAGTTATATTATTTAAATAATTCTCGTCCTCCCTTTGTTAGATGTAAGGTCTCTTTTTTGGAGAACTCGAACAACTTCAAGATTGGCGCACGTATATGTACATTTTACATATACCTGCCCCAAAAATGTTAATGAAATATCGACTTTGATTATTGTATTTGACATTTAATATAGTATACAGTATGTCAAATCCGTATTCGTACACCTCGTTTTTTTTTAAGTTCTCTTTAAATTTTGAGTGAAAAATTAAATTATGTTAAAAAAACGCAGTTTTTATAAAATAATATTAAAAATAATTTATTTTAAACAAAACAACAATCAATTCATTTTATTAACAAAAACAAAAATAAAACATAAAAATTTTCGGTGGTGTCAAATTCGTATTCGTACATCATTCAACTTTCATAAATTCGTAATCCTTTCAGTCTCAAACTTTTTTCTAATATTTTGTGGCGTGTCCTTTGCTCTGTACGATTGCTTCAAGACGACGTGGCATTGATTTTACAAGATTTGTAGTCAAACTTGTTGGAATTTTGCGCCATTCAGCTTTTAAGGCTTCTTTTAAGTCTTTTGGGTTTCTAATATTGTAATTTTTGAGCTTTTTTTTGAAAATGGACCATAGGTTCTCTATAGGATTCACGTCAGGGCTCTGTGGTGGCGTTTTAAGGTAGCGGGGGCAGTTATACAAAAGCCAAAGTCTGGTATTTAACGCTGTGTGCTTTGGGTCATTATCCTGTTGAAAGATGAACTTCTTTTTCAGACCCATTTTCTTCGCACTTTTTTTTAAATTTTTCTTTAAAATGTTAATATATTTTGTAGAATTCATAATTCCATCAATAAATACTAATTTCCCTACTCCTGCTGCACTGAAACAACCCCATGCCATCACAGAGCCCCCTCCGTGTTTGAAAGTTGGTAACATATTTCTTGGATGCAATCTTGTATTTTTTTCTCTCCATATTTTTACCTTTCCATCGGATGTTTTTAAGTTAAATTTACATTCATCAGTAAATATAACCTTCTTCCAAAACCCAAATTTCTTTTTTTTATACATTTTTGCAAATGACAAACGCTTTAACCTATTGGTTTTACTAATAAAGGGCTTCCTTGATGCAATTCTACTTGAAAAATTGCGTTTCTTGATTGCATTACGTACTGTTTGTGCACAAACTTTGAGTCCATAGTATTTTCTGAGCATATTAGTTAGGTTCGGTGCACTGATAAACGGATCCTTTCGAATTTCTCGGGTAATAAATCTAATATGGCGCGAACTGAGTAAACATATTTTTTTATTACGCTTAGATTTTTCAGAAATTCCTTCAGCTTTATATTTTTTTATTACGTACTGAATAGTAGAGTGGCTTCTTTTAAAAATTTCTGCTATTTCCCTGTACGAACGTCCTTCATTAAATAAAGAAACTATTAATTTTCTATTAGAGTTCGACAACTCACTAGATTTTCGACCCATTTTGGCAGTTACGCATAAAAACTAAATGAATAATACAAACAATTCAGAGAAAGTGAAGCATAAAAGGGAAAAACCTTTTTTTTGTGGAACAATTTTACCGTTTTAACGGACTCGGCCAAAAATTTTAAGTGATGGAAGTGGTTCACATGAAAAACTAAAAGTGTACGAATACGAATTTGACATCACCGAAAATTTTTATATTTTATTTTTGTTTTTGTTAATAAATTAAATTAATTGTTGTTTTGTTTAAAATAAATAATTTTTAATATTATTTTATAAAAACTGCGTTTTTTGAGCATAATTAAATTTTTCACTCAAAATTTAAAGAGAACTTAAAAAAAAACGAGGTGTACGAATACGGATTTGACATACTGTAGTTTTAAATGTACTTGTTGTCGAAGCTTTGAGGTAAAATTGCTTATATTTTGTTAGTATAGTTTTACATAATTTATTCTCTATCTTTATTTTTCCACTTTATATTGCGATGACGTTCGTAATATAGTTATGACCCATCTTATGACCCATTTAATATGACGCATCTGTTATATGCATACATACATATTTATATTTTGCATGTTTGGCAATCTTTTTCGCAAATCCATGAAATATTTAAAGTTAAGTGAATAATGAATATGAATTTATAAAAAATTTTTTTAAATGGTAAACATAATGAAATGGGCATATAAACATATAATATGTATATGTACGTACATGTATAATATATGAATATATACAGAGTGGTCTGCAACTAACGTTAAAGCTTTCGGGATGTAATTTCTTACAATTTTTAGGACAAAATTACTCGTGTGGATGGGGAGAGTTTTATACGCCTATACGGGTAGCTTTGGAAGTTAAAGAAAATTAGACGCTCTATGCTGTTGAAATTAGTGCAGTGCTTTAGCGTTTTTTTTGAAACTTTCATGTTGTTTGTCAAACTCAACGTTTTCGATTAAAAATCAAAAAATCACTATCATCATCACGCTCTACAATTTGGTCACACATAATTTTCACGTCAATAAAGCAACTTCGAAGCTGACGCATATCTGTCACACTAAATTTTTTTAATCAGATTTTATTTAAAACTATAAAATTACACCTACACTTCGAAGTCACCCGCCCTCCTCACGAAGAATTTTTTCCTAAAACCTTTAAAATTTAATCTACCTCCAATAGCTTTAACGTTCATGACCACCCTGTACTTATAATATATAGATATGTATATGTATATGTATGTACATTAACACAATCAAAATATATGTACGTTTCAATAACCATCTTAACAGCTTTAACCTAAAAACTTACTTTTCTTATTTCTTATAAGTATTGAATATATTACAATATACACATTGTTTATTTCACTGTAATCAAATCAACAACTTGAAATCGAAAGTTGAAGAAATGCTTATTTGTCATTATGCGTATATTATGTATCTATTTATGTATACACATATTTTATAAAAATAAAAGAAAATTATAAATAAAGTGCTTATACGTCGCTTTGAGTTCCTTCGGAAAAGTGATTGAAAAGAAGCCGGTTTTTATTTAAATCGCAATTTTTTGAATATAAACCCGAATTTAAATCATAATATGATTTCCGATCCATACATATACATACATACATATTTACATTTTTATGCATACTGGTGATTTACAAGTTCGAATAGACCCGCTTCTGCATTTCTTATTACTTTCATTAACTTTCATAATGTTTAGTCTTCACACCAAATATACAACCATATTATATACTTATGTATGTTTAAGATTATGAAGAATAATTATAAAATTTTTTGATATGGCTTTGGAATACGCCTAAAAGTGTAAATATTTCAATGTCAGAACACGTTGATGACATTGAAATCTCTACACTTTTAAGCGTATTAAACATATAAAATAAAATATTAATACATGTGTATGTAAATAAATTGCATGACAGTATCGTCAATGACAATAAATATTATGAAATTTGCTAGAGAATTCCGTCGGCTATATGATACTGTACAACAAAATATGATGAGACTTCTAAAAAATATCGTACACGAGTCTTTAATGAAATTTTAAAAAATCTGTTGTATAATTATTTTTACGCCAATGTTTATATTATAATTGTATAGAAATGCTTGGAGCAAAATTTATCAATGGCTTAATATGAGAATCCCAAAATTTTGCCCTTTAAATTTTAGTTATGTTTCTGAGTAAAGTTAACTACTTTTCCTATGTCACTGAACTTTTGATAAAATGGAATAGAGCATTATGTGTAGAATGAAAATAACTTTGTAAACTTTAAATATTTCGTATAACTCATTTTGTTTGTATATGTACTTATGTATCTACATAACATATTTCTTATCTTGAGTTTACAGCAAATTTCTTGAAATTTGAAAGAGTTTCAATTTTCATGTGAATATTGAGACAAATAATTGTTATAAGAGATTAAGAATATAATTATAATGGAATTTTTAGTTTGAAAAATAATTTTAAGAGTTTATAAACGTAATATTATTGATGTTATTTTTACATTTATTATAATAATAAAAAAACAAATTTTCTTAGAAAAAAGATCTAGATTATTTTTATTTTTTCTTACTGATGTTTTTAGTCTTATTATATATTTCATATTATATCTTCACTTTAGACTTTAAGAAAAATTTATTGCGAATTTAATTACAATATAAAATCTTTGATTTTAATAATTTTGAACATTTCAATTATGTTACTCGTATGTACATAGTTTTGAGTTTGGTTGCATATATTTCCTTTAATTTTTTTCTAATTGGGCTTTAATGAAGTCTGGAATTTCATAACCTCGAGCCCTTGCTTCAGCTTCATATTTTTTTACATAAATACCTTCTGGATCATATTTGGCTGATAAATCTTTCCATTCAACTTGTTTATTATCAATTAAAAATTTCAATACACGTTCAACACCTTGCTTTTGCCTTTCTGAACATTTTGAACATTCAGTTTTTAAGGCATCTGGTAAAACACGTTTTAATTCACGACCATCTGGTGTACATTTACCTTTGTCTAATAAACAATTATAATAGTTTTTAAATAGACGATCTGATTTAAGAATTTCTTCTAAATCAATATTATCATATTTTGTTGTGTATTGTTCATCAGCAGCAACAACAGCTACAAGAGCTAATAACGCGAAGACGAAATATTTCATTATTCAATATGATTCTGAAAATTAAAAAAAATATGATAAATTTCATAAAAATACTTTATAATTATTTTAAGTAATATAAATTTCGGCGTTTTAAAATTTTATAATTTTTAGTTTTGCTGATTTTCATTTTGAGTATCTCATTTGAGATATTCGATGGAATATAGAATTTCCGGTATTAATGTAGTATTTAACATACTCTAACTTCGGAATTACAGGAACATGGTATTACCACATAATTCAGTGCATGTATTGTAATTTATGAATTATATACTAATAATTATGCAGTTGTAAAATGACGGATGTTATGTACATTAACTTTGATTTTTACCAAAATGCAATTAAATTTTTTACAATATTGTCTTACATATTCTGAAAATTCAAGTTCTTGTTAAAAATACATATATGTAAGTATAAACACATGAAGCATGTTAATATTAGGAAAATAAAATAAATTACTAATTTTTTGGAATATAAATAAGAAAAATGTAATTATTTAAATTTATCGATTTTATAACAATAGTGATTTATATATGTTCGTGACATACATTCTTAATTCTCTCATTTTAATTAGCTACAATATATATGTTTTCGAGGTATAATCGGTAATTTTTTAAAACTTCATAACATAATTAAAGAATTTAAATTGCGCAGTAAATATTTGATAAATATGCGGAAAAATCATTAGAAAGGTGTATTATTTGTGTACTATTTTCTTAAAATTTCATAAAGTAAAATTCCAAGTCACAATAGTATTAAGATTAGTGACTATATCAATATTTTTTAAAATTGTGTCAATTGTTATGAATAGATATATACACACACACACACACATATATATATATATATATATATATATATATAAATTTATATTGTATACCGATGTGATCATAATTCAATTAGACATCACTGTAGACGGAATGCAAAATGTTTAATATTTTTCCTCCCAAAAATGATTTTTAATGAGTCAAGGTTCGGAACAATTCATTTGATTCAAATTTTTGCTTAATCATCTATTATAAACTCCTACTAAAATATATAAGCAGATACCATATTTAAAGTTTAATTTTAACAATCTAAATCCTAGAGTAAAATCTTGCAAAAAAATAAATATGTAGACTCTATTTTCCAATATTTTTAATAAACTTATTTTGTAATTTTAAATTGTTTTCATAATTTCATTGATTTAATATAGATATATTGTTATATAATGGAAATATTTTAAAAATTTATTACTTCGTTTAATTATATATATGTGCTGTGTATGTATATGTCATCATTAAAAAAATCATTATATTATAAAGTTCAAAATAAATAACTGAACTATAGTGAAATCAAAATTAATTTAACCTTGACATCTCTGCATATTTAAATATTAATATTGGGTATTTATTTAAAATGAGAACTCAAAATGCATATTAATTAAATAACTATTTTTTTTTTGTTTTTGATGACTATAGCAATTAATTATAATTATAAACTCTGCTTTGTTTTCTTTAAATTTTTATTTTATTATTTTTTTCTTTTACCTTAGTTCTAATAATATGTAATTTTGTTCTAAATATCAATTATATTTTTTTTAACTTTCTATAATTTTTTAAATTATAATTATATAAGTAGTTTCGCAAAACTGAAATTTTTTTATTATGTTTCAAATTTATTTTCGAAAATTCTATACATTATATACGTTGAACTCGTATATATTGTTTTAAATGCAAATGTTTAAAATTAATTCATTTGTTTTATCATAAAACAAAAAAAACAGTTTTTGTATACAAGGTGCAAAGTCATTCCAAAATCATATTGTATATATTATTATTAGTTATTATTATTATTATATCACAAAATGTATTATATTTTTTATTTTTTAGAACACACTGTGCTATATTCATTTTATATTTTTTCTCTTATTTATAGAAAAATTCAATGCACTTTCTAATTAATATACCGGTGCCAAAATAATTTCAGTTTTCATTGCGTTTTTAAAATATTATAGAAAAAATAAATTGTTTTTTAACCACACTCACCAGATATGAGCTAAAGAAAAATAAAAATGTAAAATTAGAAAAATCTTTTAATGCTAACTACTGTCTGTGTACTCGGGAAGAGCTTAAATGTGACTGTTAAATATCTCAAAACATTGAACCTCTTTTATAGTAGCTATGGAATGGTCATAGCCTTATGCTTTTTTTTCTTATAGTTTTGTTCTTCTTATTTTCATACTTTTTATTAATTTTTATTTAATCTTTAATTTTTTTTTACTTTAGCTTTTTTTTGTTATTTTTTTGTGATTAGTTTTAACAGTATTTTGTTTGTAATATCCATTTTATTAAATAAAAAAACAAAAAAACGGAAAAATATTAAATATTGATAATATTTTTTAAAAATTCGATGATTAAAAAAAACTTTAACCGGCTTTGGCATACTTTAAAAATAGTAGAGTATTGTGAATGTGGTTTTTTAAATTACTATTTATTTTTATGAGTTGATTTATTAATTTTTAACGTTTCAGTTTGTTTATGTAGCAGTTATTAAGCTAAGTATGTGCAAAAACAAACCAAAAATCTCGTGGCAATAATTAAAAAGAAAATAGCTAAATACCTCCTAAAAACCCTAATTTGAAAATTTCTTTGAGAAAAACTGGAAATTATTACAAATAATTAAAAAGATGAAATAGGGAAGGAGCTTGTAAAGAAAGTTTTCAGATAAAAAGAAGGCGAACTATTTTTTAAAATAAATTTGTTTTTTTTCAAAGTAAAAATAAACGCAATTGTTATTAATAAGTAATTTTTTACTTTATTATGCATTTTAAACTTCTTGCCAGTTTAGATATTCATAATTACAATGTTCCAATATTTCCTCCTCAGTTTTATAAAAAAAAAACAAAAATAACTGAATATAACAGCTGATGATTGACTGCAAATTTAATTATATTTTATAAAGTAAACTATTTTCGTTATTTACGTTAATGAAAATCTAGTTTTTGTTAATTTTGTTTTTTTTTTAATATATAGGTACATATATATATCTATATACATGCCAGTTTAGATAGAATATGTTGTACATATTAGAGAAAAAGTAATATAATGTAGAGTAGATTATGAGTCATTTTTAGGAATTTTCCAATTAAATATGCACATATATACTATAACATACAATCAATAATTTATGTAAAATATTTCGCAGCATTATTATTAATTGTCGTAAGTATTTTCGTATATATTTGTTATATAAAATTTATTTTTTAAAAGATTTTTAAATAAAAAATATTTATTTTTCTTAAGAATTGTCAACATGTGTGTAAATTTTTGTAAAATTAATTATATCGTAAATAAATTAATTTTTTTTAAAAAGGAAAAGTTTAAAGTTCAAAATTAATTTTGTTTTTATTTTTTGTGGTAAATTACAAAATAATAAAAATATAATTTTAATGTAGAAAAAAAAATTGTTGCGGTGCGATGATAATGAAATTAGAAATTTTTAAACTTTATGACTTGATAACCTTCAAAAAATTTAACTCCGAGATGAGCGAAAAATTTTTATACAGGTTAAAGGGTATCATTTTATTTTAAATTTATATTTTGAATTTATTTTTTCAGTGAAAGTTAACCAAAATATCAAATAGAATTTTATTATGTGTATTAGTCATAAAATAATTTTTGAAATATAAATTTTCAAAAGATTTAAGTGAGAAACTTGATATGTAAAATTTGGATTTTTAAAGAATTATAGTTGGAAAAGAACAGAAAATCAAGAAGGCATTATTTTCTGTGAAAAAATTCCGAATAGTTTATTAGAATTTATTAAATATTTTATAAAATTAAAATTTATTCGTTTTTGCATTAAGATTTACATATTTATATATGCAATATAAATATATTTATATGGAAAACATTAACATTTCCAATATGAACATAGTGCTTTCAAAACATTTAGAATGACATATGTTTAATAATAAAATGTTTACAATTACGTCAATTCTATCAATTTCAAGATTTTAAAAGATAAATATTTAAAAAGAACTTTTAAAATTTATATTTTATTTATTTTTCCATATAGTAATGACATCAGTTTAGTTACATATCTGTAATTGTAATAAATATGTGATTATATTTACATTAAAAATTCAAATGCTTTTGTGTATCAATAATAGAGTTACCACTATAAACAAAAACGAAAAGAAACAAATATTTTGGCGAAAGCAATTGAAGAGGATAGATTAACGATGAAGAAACATACATCTCTGTTGTATATACTGGTATTGCTATTGAGCTGGATTGAAAACGTTTAACTACTTGTCTTTGATTTGATTTTAGTCCTTGATAGTGGGCAAAAATGGGTAGAGCATGAGAAATATTTAATTATTAAAATTTCAGCTTATACCTTTATCCTTCGAAAATACTTTTCTGTTAACATGTAGCTTTCAAATTTCCGTTCCTATATGTTTTGCTAAATATAGTTTACTTGAATTGTTCATGGAGTATTGCATCACTTGTATTACAACAATAACTGTCTTGGCTAATTTAAACTTGGTTGATAAGAAAGCAACTAAAATTATAAAAAGGTATCAGGTATCCAAAAGATATGTTATATAACGAACGTTATTTAAGTTTAGGTAACTTAGTTTAACTGATAAATAACTCTATTAAGCATAATTTTATTCTGAGTAGGACTTTTGAACTTGTATTTGAATTTGTTTAGAACTAATTATCAAAATAATAATTGTCTCTATTTTTGCTTTAGATTTTGTAAAGAAAATGTTTCATATTACATATCTGGAAGGTTTCACGTTATTGGTGTTATATTTTAATATAGTAACTAGTTATTGAAATATAAGTTGCATAATATACGTTGTATTTACTCGTTATTAGGTTTAAAGTGATCTCAAATTTGGAATATGTTAGTTCTTTTAAATTTTATATTCTTTCTTATTTACTATTTATGTATGTATATAAATTTACAATAATTATATCTTAAGCTGCAGGATCTAAATTTAATCTTGTGTTTCATTTTTCTTTTATATAATTTGCAAAATTTTGTAATTTTCACTTTTGAATTAAATAAAGAAAATGATCATTCAGGTCTGTTCAAATATACAATTTCACATGTCAATTTAGATCACCGACGAGACTCTGCAAAATGACGCCTCGAAATTATTTTCTTTGGAACTACTTGAATCCATGTCTAAATTATTGATCACTAGTTGTCTCATTTCTTAAACCGATAGCACTTCAACTGATAATTTCTATACTTTTGGAAAATCAATAACAATATCAAAAATAATTTAATTTCATAAAGATAAATAATTATTTCAAAATATTATTGTTTATTTAAGAGTCCAAACATTTAACTAATATTCTCTCATTTGGAATATGCTGTAATGGATTTGATAAGAGCTTACTATAATATATGAGTTAAAACTCATTGATTAAAATAAAAATTTGCTTATTATTAAATGTATTCGTATTATATTACCTATACAAATATGTATATTTCAAAAAGCATAATAAAAATTAAATTAAGCGACAATACTTAATAGTAAAATTTTTTCCATTAAATTTAAATTAAGGTTCAAAGACTTAATAATATGATTTTTGTGTACAAGCCTAAAGATATTATTGACGATAACACTATTTGAGCAAGGTCATTTAAAATGTTAAAAGTAAAATTTGTTTTAGCCTAAAGAAATATTTTATTTTCTGGGATTTTTTGCAAATCAATAAAGAGAAAAAAAATAAAAAAAATATCTCATTATTAATTAAAAGAACAAATAAATGAGTAGTTTCACAGCAGATTACAACAGTTTATTTAAATGAAGAAATTACCAAAAAAGTGAAAACAGTGAATGTAGACTTGTTTATTAAATTTAAAACGTGAAATTAAAAATATAGGAAATACATATTCTTATTATTTCAAAAATTTAAGTTATTATTTGACTATAGAAAATTGTAAAAATAATTAAATAAAATTTAAAAAATAAAGTAATAGACGCATACAAATTAACAATTTCTTAAAATAGTTAAAGAATATTGATACAAATTTCACGTATTCAAGTTGAAAAGGAACTAGAATATTCGAGTGCAGTATTCAATGCATAACAATATTAATTTATGTTAAACTTTATGGAACATCTTGTACCTTAACTATAATAGTCAACAATATTTATTTATATATGATGCATATTTTATTTCAAAATATAAAGTATAGCAATCACATTAAAAAGATAATATAATAAATAAATTAATTAATGATAAAAACGAAAATCAAAGCATGATATTAATATTCGGATGACACATCAATAATAAAATAAATAATGCCATCGGTTAAACGTCAGATATTTAAAATGTGAAAATGGAAATTGCTAAAACTGCAACAATTATAAAGAAAAGGAAAAAAAAATTTAATTTTACAGAAAAGTTTAATTTTTAATTTATTCAGACAACTTAAAACCAAGCTTATTAACTATGTAGTATTATGTTATATTATAGAAATACATGCATAGGTACGTTTTTTATTAATTTTAGCATGAAATAATCGAAAGTAGGTTTCTTTATATTGAATTTGCATAAATCATATTTTAATAAATTAATATACATACATAAATATCTAAGTATGAGTACATAGATATGTATATGTGTTTATGGATATGTATATGTATATTATGCGCATTTATTTGTTTATATTTTCATTATAAATTAAAACAAAAGTAGATTATCATATTAAAATTAAAAAATATAATTAAAAAAATAATTAATTCCTAAATAAAAAAAATGATTAATTCGTAAATATCACGCTATTCTTAATAAAACTATGTAAGTATGTATATTATTCTTAGAATAGATCATAGGATAAGTATAATTTTAAACTAGGTATAGCTGTTCTGTTGGGTATCGCATAATTAGTTTATTTTTTATTGTATTTTTTAATATGAAATTAGCAATGTTATTTATTTTATTTATTATAATGTAAATAATTTTATATAAAATGAACGCTGCCACTTTTCTTTTAGAATTTAATTTTTTTTTTATACAATTGCTAGTCAACAATTAAATAATCTACATATTATACATAAAAATGATAATCATGAGAAGAACCTTTTCAATAAGTTTTTAATTATTTTGAATAATTATTCCAACTGCTTATTGTAATTGAAATAAATCAATTTTTATAGA